CTCCTTGGAAACCCTATGGGGCAGTTCTACTCTGTCCTATAGGGTCGCTATGAGTCAGAATCAACTTGACGGCAACGGCTTTTAGTGACATACGATGTTGCACATATTTTCAAATGCATATTTTTCACCTGTATATTTTCTTTGGTGAGGTGTCTGTGCAGATCTTTTGCCTATTTTGTAATGGGTTGTTTGCTTTCTTATTGTTGAGTTTTAAGGGTTCTTTGTATATTTTGGATATAAGCCCTTTATCAGATATTTGTTTTGTAAATATTTTCTCCCACGGGCGTACATTTTTAAGACGAAGTAATAGCTTCTCTTTTCTAATGTTTTCCAGGAAAACATCCAGATACAAAAGAAGAGCCTGAGTTAAGCCATCTAGAGAGCATTTGATTGGCTTATTTTATACTAAGGCATCAGTACTGAGAGTCTAGTGTGTTAACCTGTCCAAGGCTATATTTATTTTAATAGAGAATAATTTTACAAAAAATGAATGTATCTTCAATGATGGACATTAGGGAAATAGTCACACACACACACCATAAGGAGTCCTGGTGCCCCAATGGTTAAGTGCTCAGCTGCTAACTGAAATGTTGAAAGTCTGAACTCACCTAGCAGCTCCACAGGAGAAAGACCTGACGATCTGTTTCCGTAAAGATTACAGACGAGAAAACTCTATGGGACAGTTCTACTCTGTCACATGGTCACATGAGTCAGAATTGACTCAATGGTACCCAACACCACCACCATATATGTATATATGTATGTATATATGTATATACATGTATACACATATATACACATATTTAAAAAAAAAAAAAAAACCAAACCGTTGCCATCAAGTCGATTCTGACTCAGCAACCCTACAGGACAGAGTAGAATTGCCCCACAGGGTTTCCAAGGAGTGCCTGATGGATTCAAACTGTCGACCTTTTGGTTAGCAGCCGTAGCTCTTAACCACTACGCCACCAGGGTTTCCACATACACATATATATACATATAAAAATAAAAATGTTTGAGGTTGTCTACAATCATGGAGTCCCTGTGTGGAGCAAATGGTTAAGTGCTCAACTACTAAAGGCTGGCAGTCTGAACCTACCCAGAGGCGTCTCAGAAGAAAGGCCTAGCGATTTGCTTCTGAAAGGTCACAGCCATTGAAAACCTTATGGAACACAGTTCTACTCTGACACACATAGGCTCATCATGAATTGGATCAATTCAAAGGCAACTGTTTTTTGTTAGTTACTATCATACCACAAATGTTTATCTTTGTTATTAAAGAAGGCCGTGTACTATGCTTGTTCAATAACCTGTCCTGCACGTATTAGAATGAATCCACATTTATTTGGGGAAGGACAGTGTCCTGAGCATTACATGTGTGCCTTTCTAAGGCAATGGGTCCTCACGTTTTTGGTATCACAGTCCTCTCTGAAAATCTGATGATTCTCCCAAGAAAAATGAACATTTGTGTGGGTATGCCCACACATGGCACACATACAAGCTGACATGTGGTTTCCAGGAAGAGTTCCGGGGTCTCTGATTTTCATTCCTGAAGCCTCTAAAGCAGGGCTACTGAAAGTGTGGCCTGGGCCAGGCCATGTCCAAGTGGAGATAAGTAGAAAAATTGAAAGGAAGCATTCTCAAAGTTTACAGTAGTTTTAATTGCCATGATATCAAGCTTGTGATCACTGGGCTTGGCTCACTGAATGACTGGAAATTAAAAACCAACCAACCGGCGAAGGAGTCCTACACACGGATATTATGCAGCAAGGCCCCGGAGCACTGCTGACTCTTCCCAGGTGGGACACAGGTAGATTTTCATCATTAGGGAACACAGGGACACTCCCACCATCATCACCAAAAGGGCTTCGGGGGATTTTCATCCTCTTTGAAGAAACTCAAGTAGAATTCACAGACACTTCTGATAGTATAACTAGATTTTTCTGGTTTTGTTCTCTCGGCCCCTTTCCACTCCAAGTGAGAGGAGGGAGCCCAGAAATGGAGAGGAGGCAAAGAAAGCCAGAACATATAAACCATACTTCTTGCCCACGGGAGTTGCGAGCAAAGAGATTCACTGATGGAAGATGGGAAAAGTGGCTTTAAATGTTGCTGGAGCTCAAACCTGAGGCCAGGAATACCTGTGGATACAGCGGCCTGACCTCTAGACATGAGAGCAGGCCTGAGGGAGGAGAAAGTGCTGTGTCACCCTAGCTTTGCATTTCATACCTGAGCCCCTTCATGGGAAAGGACTGGGTGGAGAGAGGTTTGCAAAAGAAAAAATAAAAACAAAACAGCCCAGCCAGGCCCCAAACAACCTTTCACCTGGAGTTGCCCCCTGGCTTTTTGAGTTTCAACAGAAGCCAGATGTGGTTTAACAATGAAAGCGTGTTTCTGGCATGCCCCCGTTTGCTGGGGCTTATCCCAATCTCCAGGGAGCCCTCCTGGCATAGTGGTTAAGAGCTCAGCTGCTAACCAAAAGGTCGGTTTGAATCCAACAGCAGCTCCTTGGAAACCCTATGGGGGCAGTTCTACTCTGTCCTATAGGGTCTCTGTGTATCAGAATCAACTCAACAGCGACGGATTTGGAGGTTTATTCCAATCTCTGGACACTCAGCAAATGGTCCACTCAGCAGGGGTGATGACACCCTCCCTCCCTATCCAGGTAGGGTCTGCAGATGATAGCTGAGAAACTGGGGCCTTTTCCCAGCATCCCCTGACACCAGGAACAGGATCAATAGGACAAGTGGCTTCCTCACAGCCCAAATCAATAGGCCTAATGTGTTTAGAATATAAGAGAAGGACCTGCAGAGCCAACAGATAACCCCTCTGGGACCTACATCAGTGGCTGGGACCACTAACAGATAGAAACTGTTATGACAAAATGGCACCCAAGACCATGCTCTTTGGCCCCTTGCTGCTCTAAGTGCCATCAGGAGAGAGGGAGGTGTCTGCTTCCTTCCCAGCCTCAGACCCCCACCCTGCCCTGAGACCCCCCATACAAGCCCAAATAGAGTTGTCCTGCTTGCCAGGCCAGCTCCAGGTACCCCTACTCCCACCCCATCCACCCAAACTGTGTGATCCACCTGGGGCCTCATTCCTAGAGAGGGCCCAGTTTCTGACAGACTGATGACAGAATTCCACTCGCAAGGTAAAGCGCATGGGAGTTGTGGGCAGGGGACGCTCCCTGGAGAGCCGGCAGCCTTGGTCCCAAGAGGAGGGCACTGACACATACACATCCTGGGTAACACAGAGAGCAGAGCTGCTGGGTCAAGGCCCCACAAAGCAGGAAAACCCACTGTCCCTTCCCCAGGGAGAGAGACCTTCCAGGACACCCACCTACGATGAGTCCAATCTCACAGCTGGGCTCCTCATAAGCACAGGTCATCATGGTGCCCACCGTGTCGTTGACCACAGCCACCACATCCAGGTCAAATTCCTTTGGAAAGAAAGAAACACAGATTTAGGGGAGGGACAACTGTACCTGGCTTGAATCCTGCTTCACTGCTGCACACCAGTCAGAAAGCCACCTGAAATGGTTTTCTTACCATTTATAAAAAATAAATGCTCCTCTACTGACTAAATGCCTACTAGTAATCATGTATCTGAAAGTTGAGATCTAAGGAAGGGGAAGTATTCTACCCATTTTACAGATGGTACTGAGTACTAGAGTGACAGCCAAGAAGGAATCATTGAATGGAGAAAAGACAAGGCACAATGGTCAAACAGCTCTTTCTCCTGGGAATTGAAAGTATTACAGGCTTTTCAGAGGGCAAAATGGAAACATCAAATCCTTTCCTCAGAATCTGTCCCTTGGAAATGGCCATGCAGGGCCACAAGTGTACCTGTCCAAGGATATGTACTGCAGCATGATTTACAGTGACAAGAGAGAAGAAACAACCCAAACACAGATCAACAGGGGCCATGGACACCATGGCTCAGGCATACAATGGAATCCTGTGCCAACAGGAGAAAGAATGAGGGTCATCTACAGGTAGCGACAAGAAAAAAGGCCCTTGTCATATTAAATTAAAAAAGCCAGTTGTAATCTAGTACATATAGTATGGTTCCCATTTTTTAAAAAGTATGTGTGTGTGTGCATGGAAAGCAAGGTGGAAGAATACATTAACATTAAAAGTTGTGAACTGGGCAAAAATGGACCACAGGTATCTTATCAGTGAAATCCTAGATGTTGTCCAGTGTATGCTTCCAGGTTCTCGGAGTCTTAGGGCCGTATGCCTTCCATTGTTTTTGAGCTATTTTATAATTTTTTTAGGTTATAGAAAACTGATAGTAATATAAGTGATTCTTATCCATAGAGATGCAAATGAATTTTGCCAGGTGGAGGTGCAACTGATCCCCCCCTCCAAGTCATCCATCTCAAACACAGTCCCTCCAGCACTCCTGACTGCCTATATATTTGCTCGCTGGACTGTCCTTTGAACTGACTTGTTTGCTTGTCTTTATTTCTTACTGACTCCCTCATTAATTAAGGAGTTAAACAAATCCTTTTGCGTTTTTCACTGTATACTTTGTCAATGTCCTCTAGCCAAAGATACCAGAAACACACCTGTAGTGAGCAAAAAACAAACTAAAAGAACCCAGAAAAACCAAACCCATTGTCATCGAGTCAATTCCGACTCATACTGACCCTATAGGGCAGGGGAGAACCGCCCCATAGGGTTTCCAAGGAGCATCTGGTAGATTCGAACTGCCAATCTGTTGGTTAGCAGCTATCGCTATTGACAACTGTGCCACCAGGGTTCCATCAGTAAGCAGCTGGGTTTATTAACTCATTGCAACACAGGAGAACACACACCAGGGGGCAATGTGGGGCATCTCAGTCAGAAAGCATGTATTAGAATTCACAGGATTTGGGCCTGCGTTGTTGACCAGGGCTGTGCTCAGAGAAGCAGAACTGTGCTCTGGAATGGGTGCTGTCAGGCAGCAGGCGCAATTATATATGATTGAGTATCTTAATAACTCTTATCTAGAAGCTAGGGGAATGAAGCAAGGCTAAGCAGCAACTGGTAAAGAAGCAGCCGTCAGCAGAGGGGGATGTCTGTACAACCTTCGGAGTTCCGACATGATTATGGAGTGGTCTGATTTTTGTCTTAATCCATCACGGTTACAGAGTGACCATGAGTGATGTCTGTGCTCTGTGAAATTGTTTATGGTTCAGAAGCGAACACGAAGGACAGCTCCCAGCAACACTAAGGCCTAAATGACAAGGCCAGACCAGCTCTGGGCTGTTAGGGGCTGCTTTTCTCTTTTTCAATTTGTATGAAGTCACGAGTTCATGTTTCTGGGTGCAGAACTCAAATTCTAGTAAAAAGACCAGACTTACTGGTCTGACTGAGACTGGAGGAACCTCGGAGAGCATGGCCCCCGGACTCTGTCAACCCAGAACTAAAACAATTCCCGAGGCCAACTCTTCAGACAAAGATTAGCCTGGACTATGGGACATAAAATGATACTCGTTCTTAGCTCAAGTAGATACATGAGACTAAATGGGCAGCTCCTGTCCGGAGGTGAGATGAGAAGGCAGAGAGGGTCAGGAGCTGGTTGAACGGACACAGGAATCTGGGGTGGAAAGGAAGAGTGTGCTGTCACAATATAGGGAGAACAACTAGGGTCACATAACAATGTGTGTATAAATTTTTGTGTGAGAGACTAACTTGAATTGTAAACTGTCACTTAAAGTACAACAATAAAACAATAATAATAATTAAAAAAAAAAAAAAAAGAGTTCATGTTTCTTGAATGATCCTTAACAAGGTAAAACTGTTAACCCTGGTTTTATTGCTGTCAGGAAAGTGAGGAAATCAGAACCTTTTATTACCTAAGTCGTGTGTTTCTATATTGCTTGAATTCTTTACAACAAACAAGTACAATTTTTATAATGCCTCCCTCCCCCAATAAAGACTTTATATATTTTTTGATAGTTACCTCTCTCCTTTTTATTGCATCCCTTAGTAAGGTGGCTACATCGTGCCCCACACAGTCAGTTGCCTTAAAACCCTTTGTCCAGGTGATCAAGATACCCTGAAATATGAAAGGCACCAGTAGAGTCAAGTGTAATTAACCGTCCCAGGCAGAATACAAAATTTCATGCCCTCCCTCCTGAGTCAACATCTGCTGAGAACTTATAGTGAGGCCTGTGGTCAGACATCTGAGGTACAAACTGATAAAACACGAAAAGCCACAGTGCTCAGCAGGCCTGCTGTCCTCGCACCAGTCTGGTTTACAACCCCATTTTAGAGATGGAGAAACTGAGGTATGGAAGGTTAATGGACATGTCCAAGTTCACTCAGCAAGTGGCAGTGCTAGGCCTAGACCTCAGTCCTTCTGACTCTTAGCGCTTGGGATAACTAACCAGTTTCCCCTGAAGACAAGTTTGCTGACAATGTACATGAAGGAATGCAAATTTTTAGTAATGCTGTGGACTCTTTAGACTTGGTTGGACTGAGGTTATATACTTGCCAGGAAAAAAAGCGCTATGAGTGTGTACTCACTATGTTGAGTACAAGGTGATAGTACAAGTGAACTGCTTTCAAAAGTCACCCAGACCTCTGAAAACTGAAAAACAGGTTCATATGGATCCAATTCCTGAGGTTTAAGAGGTGCTATGGAGAAAAAAGTCCCAAGTCACCACGTGACTGGATTAACTGGCTTACAGCAGGTCGTCCTACCTAGCTCTCCTAAAACTGAGGATCACATGCCATAAACCCTGGCCTAAGGCCCTGTATGATCTGAGGCCACCTCCAGGGCCTCCTCCCTGGCCACACCCTACCTGTGACACACAGAGCTGCCTGAGGCTCTTCCAACAGGACAGGCTCTGTCTTACCTCCATGACTCCGGGTAACTGGTTTCCGCTGCCTGGAACATACCCCTACACACACCTCAGCCTCAGCTGCTCAGTACTGGAGCTGCTGGTGCAAGGATGTGGCTTCTCCACTAGACCGTGGGTCCTTGGGTCAGGAACTATACCCTTCAGCTCTGTACCCAGCACTTGGTACTCAGCAGGGGCTCAAGCCCTGATCCCAGGCCCCTCTTCACCCTATCTGTTCAACAAACATTTACTAAATGTCTCCTCTGACAGGACCTTGGGAAAGGGTGTAGGGGAAACAGGCCCTTGCTCAAGTAGCTTATAACATAGCAGAAAAGAAACACACAGTCACTAACAATTGTGTAAGAAGTACCACAATCCAAGGAACAGGGAACACAGAAGAAGGTGAGGGTGTTTTTTGCCTGGGGGACCAGAAGGCTTCTGAAAGAGGTGACTGCTTTAGATGATTAGGAAAAGTAGAGAAGAGTCTTAAAGGCATATGGAGCGTGTGAAATAAAGCCTGGGTCAACCCACTGTGACATCCAGGCTAGTCCCAGACATCTAGGGATGAAACAGAGACAGAAGAGGCCTCAAGAGCCAGTCCACACTGGCCACAGGGGAGCCAATGCTGCCCGAAGTCTGAGGCCTGGAGGAAAGAGACTCACCGCATCCAAGCTTTTCTGCTTGCAGGGAAAGGAGAACGTGAAGCCCAGAGGCATTCTGGGGCCTTTGATCCCCATGTAGTCCAGGAAGTCGGAGATGCAGGAAACGATATGGTCAAACAGCTTTAGGAGAAAAGAAGGGGTTACCCATGCTCCCTCTGGTTTTACACTTTCAGTGCACATGGACAAGTATGCACACACTCACACACATACAATACATACACATATACACTCAAACACATACATGCACACACATATACACTCAAACATATGCACACATGCACTCATAGGCATGTACATACACTCACAGGCACATACATACACATGCGTACACACACAACGCACGTACATATCCATTCACACGTGTGCACACATATACACTCACATGCATATATATACATATGCACACCATGCACTCACACACACGCATGTGTATGCACACATACACTCACAGGCATACACACATGTACGCACGCGCGCGCGCGCGCACACACACACACACTCCTGACACATGCAGAGCAAGCCTTCTTCTCCAGGGTCTTCGCAGCCACCTGAGTGCCATAAGCCAGGCAAGGCTGACAGGTACCCCGAAGCTTTAGGCCACAAGTGCACAGCTATGATACCACATGGTGGGTTTTGGGGACCACCAAGGCCACTGACCAGGTGAGTGATGCACACCACCTGGTGGTGTAGAGGTAGAACTGTCTCACCTCTTCCCCAGTGCCCTGCATGACCTCGATGGGAATGGTATAGATCTTGTTGTGCATTTCCACTGTTCTCCTTTTCCCACTACGGATTTTCACCAGCAGGACACGGAAATTCGTTCCTCCAAGATCGAGGGCCAAGAAGTCACCATTCTCTATTGCAGCCAAGAACATAAAGAATGTCAAAAACAGCTAAGTGTCTCAGCAGCCGGTAACCCCAAGACTCCACCCCAAGACTTCAGACCTTCTGGAGCCCCTATGCTAAAAATAAATACAAGGGAGAAGCTGCAAGTCCTCCACCATCTAACACTGCCCTCTTCCCTCCCTCCAGCAGGCAGCCCAGACCTAGAGGAAGGGTGGCCGCCATACACTGAGCACCACACTGGAAAGACATGAACCACTTGTCACAATATTACCAAGGTTAATAAGAATGCCTGGCAATGAAGCCCTGATATTAGGAAACCTCATATGAAAAGTAGTAATTTATGTCAGTATGTGGATTGATCATTCCCTTCTGTGCTTCCATGCTTCTCTGCAGTAAGATTTTACAGTTCCACCCATCAAATGTGAAGTCTATTTCTCCTCCCCTGGAATTCACCAGTTGCTATGGAGTTGACTACAACTCATGGCGACCCCAACCCCATGTGTCTCAGAGTAGAACTGTGCCCCATAGGGTTTTCAACGGCTGATTTTTCGGAAGTAGATCGCCAGGCCTTTCTTCTGAAGTTCCCGCCTCTGGGTGAACTCAAACCTCCAACCTTCTAGTTAGCAGCCAAGCTCATTAACTGCTGCACCACCCAGGAACTCCCCCTTGAATCTGGGTGGGCCTTAGACTTGCTTTGGCCAACAGTGTGTGACAGAAGCAAAGCTGTGCCAGCCTTCAGCCCAGGCATCCAAGTGGCTTTGCCATCTCCACTCTCCCTCCTGGACCTTGCTGCCACCATGTGAACAAGCCCAGTGGCTGGCTGGAGCGTGAGGCAGATTGCCAGACACTCCAGTAGGCAGAGAGCCCGCTGCCAGACACGTGAAGGAGGCCACCTGAGATCAGCCTCCCAGCTGACCACAGACACAGGAGTCTAGTGGAGATCAGCCGAACCTGGGCCAAGTGAGCAGAACCATTCCGCTGACCCATGGACTTGGGAGCAATAAACAACGGTTGCTGTTTTAAGCCACTAAGTTTGAAGGTAGTTCAGAATGCAAAAATAAATAACTCAGACATCAGGAATATTCATATCATAAACATTCTTTACTCCAAGGACCCACCCAAGAAGCCCTTCAGATTCCCCATAGGCTCAGCTCCAATGAGAACCAGCCAGGTGAGTGTTAAGGGTTGGCTTTTGTTCTCCAATCTGCCTGGGTGTATAAATCCCCAGGCTCCCGTCTGCCTCATGGACACGTTGTCAGGATTTAGAAAGGGTCTGGATTAAACTCCTTCCTTCTTCACGGATTCAGGCATTGGGTGTCTGTTCTTTTCCTAGTTTACTGTGTTCCTGAGAGAACCTAGAACAATCTCAGCACTACAGGATTTGCCCAGTTTCTTTCTTTTAAGAATACTTTCTCATTTGGTGCAAATGATTAATGTGCTCAGCTGCTAACAGAAAGGTTGAGAGTCTGAGTCCACCCTGAGGAGCCTAGGAAGAAAGGCCTGGTGACCTACTTCTGAAAAATCGGCCATTGAAAACCCTATGGAGCACAGTTTGACTCTGATGCATATGTGGTCACCATGAGTCGGAGTTGACTCAACGGCACCTGGCACTGTTTTCTGATTCAGGGTGTGGCTGGGAGGTTTTGGAGACAGTGCTTGCCTGGGAGACCCAACCAGGGCAAGTTAGTGGTAAAAATGAAACAGGGGTTTGAGTTAGTTTCCACCTCTTGCCAAAATCATGCATCCCCAGTGCAAATTCACCCACTAGAGAATCCAACCTCCTCCAACCCACTGTGACTGGGTCGTTGTTACAAGTGTGAGGGGAATGTCAGCCCCCAGTAAGGCCCTCACCAGACCCATCCGGAGTGCTCCGGACAAAGGAGGGCAGCATCTTGACAGTGGCCTTCTCATGCGTCGCCTTCTTCAGCCCTAACTCCATCTCGTCCCGCATCCGCTTCTTCACCTCCATCAGCATTTCCTTGGTGAGGCGGAAGTGGGCCAGGGTCTCCTGGATCTGCCGGTGCTGCTCGGCCAGGCGGTAAGCCACCGCAGTCACCATGGCAGCCCCCTTGCCACTGCCGCTCTCCGACAGCAGGAAACGCACATCAGAGTCAGGCACCAAGCGCCTCAGAGTCTTGTGGAAGCGTCGGGAATACCTGGGGGTGGGGCAGAGGGATGCACATGTCACCCTGCTCGGACTGAGCCATCTGCCGGGAACCTCTCTGGCACCCTTTCTTTTTGCATACTTTAAGTCCATTTTCTACACTTACTTTTTTCATTACAGAAGTCATATACAGCCACCGTAGGAAAGTTAGCAAAGGCAGACTGGGAAAAAAGGAAATCATCCATAATCACGTATTAAAAGAGAGGATCTTCATTATTAGGTAAGTATATCAAATACAGAAAATTCAGGGTCCAAAAAAAGATTTTGTCGTCCACATGACAGGAAGACAACATAGCATAGTGATCAATGGCAGTGTTTGAAAACCAGATAGATCTGGAAACGAGTGTGAGCCCTACTACCACGGCCACGTCAGGTGACCTTGAGCTTGTTACTAAAACTTGGAGTGAATGAGGATGATGGTATCTGGTTGATAGCAATGGGGCGGGAGGTAAATGAGTTAATTATAACTCTTAGATTAGTAACCGGAGCTGAGTAAGGGTTCCATAAATAAGCGCTCTTGCTTTTTATTCTGACTTGGCCTTATCACCCTTCCCCTAAGTGTCTGGGTACTTCCTAGTGGCTTGAAGAGGACTTTTGGACAGAACTTGATGTGACCTAGAACTTTCTCCAAGTCTGTGGTCTGTTGTAAGTATGGAAGGCTGCCTGCCAAAGAAACAGGGAAATGAACCCCAAAATGTTAACAGTGGTCAACACTAGGGAGTGAGGTGAAGAATGACTTCTATTCTCTTTGTAATGTTTTGAACTATCTAAAGTGTCTATACTGAATATACATTACTTCTGAAATAAGAATTTATCAAAGTTATCATTTAAAAAAAATGTGATGTTGCAAATCCCTGGACTTTCTTGCCCCCAAAATCCACTGACTACTTAAAACTTGAACTTCTCTTTGGCTCTCTGATGCAAAGTGTTAACAAATTGCCCATTTTAAAAAGAAATGTCTAAGGCTCTGGGCAATTTTAACAGGCATTTCAAACACAAGGTGGGTGCTGTGCCCTTAACCCAAACTACAATGAGGTTGAAGGTCACTGATGATATGTGGACAAGCAAGAGGATTGAAGATGCAGACACACTCCAGCCAGCACTTCCCCTGGTAGATACAGAAGTATCTAACGAGACTTTTGAAATGAGGAGAGATGATAGTGACGTGCAGAAGCAGTACCAGTGAGAATTAGCTGAGGGTCAGATTCTTCCCAAGTAGGCAACACACATTTCTTCATTCAGAATGACAACAAAGGAACAATTATCACCAACATTAAGCATTACCAGTGCCCTCTTTTGAGGCTACTTGGCTACATCTTACAGGTTATTTGGGTTGGTTATTACTAAAATGCCATCTGACTTTCTGCCCAGAACTAGGTATAGCCTTGTCTGCCAAAAATGTTCACTGGGTACAAAAGTCTGACCTCTGGAGAAGGTCCTTAGCCCAGATGGGTACTGAGTGACAATTATAGCAAAGGGCAGACTCACTGTGGGTGCGTCTTGTAAAGAGATCCGTCGACACCAACCGTTGTCCGCAGCCTGGGCGTGCCCTTATTATCACGAAGGCGGCACAAGATGGCACCCAGCGTTGCAGCCACCAGGTTGGCCGAGCGGAATGAGACAATGGCGCACACGTGCTGGACTGAAATACAGTCATCGTGAGATGGTTCCACTCCCAGACGAGTCAGGATTTCTTTGGCATTGTGGAGGCCTTCCTTATTCCTGTGAGGTTAGAGGTCAACACTGTATGAGGTAAGAACTACATCAGGCAATGCAAAGCGCTGAGGTTCTAAGGCCTAGGGACTAGGATAGTCAAACAGAGAGCACAAGCAGGGTTCTCTGGCTAAGAAATACTGGGCACAACTAGAAGAATGCAATCGATGTCACCGAATTGAAGTAGAAACTTCTGAAATGGTGTAACTTTGGCTAACTATATTTTCACCAAAAAAAAATCATCCAAGGTCAAGAAGGGAGAGTGTTGACATGTCATGGGGTTGTTAACTAATGTCATAAAACAAATAATGAGAAGGAAAAAAAGCTAATAGAAAATTTTGGTTCTGTTAAGTAACAGTTTATGAATTTGGGAGTTGGTAACTATAAGTTATATTGAAATAATTGTTATTTTCATATATTTAAACAACTTCCATTCATTCCCATTTTCAGAAAATCTAGCGTGAGAAAAATCTGTAGTTGTTAAAAAATGTTTTGGAAAAAAAAAAGAAATACCGGGCAGTAGGAAAAACACTACCGCACTGGCTTATAACATGGCAGGTGCATGGAGGGAAATGCTCCAGACCACACAGCCTCTGAGACAGCTGGAAAACAGCTGCCTCCCCACAGGGTTCAGTGTCCAGGAGGCTCGAGAGAATCTTCCACTCTAGGGGTCTGTAAGGTGCTTAAATTTAAATTTTCTGCATACATGTGTTGTATATCTTTTGCTAGAGTCATTCCTTCTGAGGTACTTTGTAATTTTGTTTCTATTGTCAATGGTGTCTTTAAAATAAATAAATAAATATAACCCATTAACTGCTGCCATCGAGTCGATTCCAACTCCTAGCAACCCTATAGGACAGGGTAGAACTGCCCCATGGAGTTTCCAAGGAGTAGCCTGGTGGATTTGAACTGCTGACCTTTTGGCTAGCAGCCGTAGCACTTAACCACTACACCACCAGGGTTTCCAAATAAATTATATATATATATATATATATATATATATACACACACATCCTTTTTTTTTGTACCTTAGTAATGTTAGGGGAGCCCTGGTGGCACAGTGGTTAAGAGCCACGGCTGCTAGCCAAAAGATCAGCAGTTCGAAGCCACCAGCTGCTCCTTGAAAACCCGTGGGGCAGTTCTACTCTGTCCTATAGGGTCGCTGTGAGTCAGAATCGACTTGACAGTAACGGGTTTTTTTAGTAACGTTAGACATTAACAATAGGGGAAACTGGGTGAGGGGTATCTGGGAACTCTCTGTCCTACATTCACAGCTTTTCTGTAACTCTAAAACAATTCTAAAATAAAAACTTTATTTAAAAAGATGTAAGTTCACATATCTTAATTGTTGCCCACATATAGAAATACAATTGACTTTTGTATCTTGATCTCCAGACATCCTGCTAACTCCTCCTGTTATTTTATTCACTTGTCTCTTGTTTCCTGGAGCGTACAATAGAGATGATCATCACCGGCAGATAAGGACAGTTTTATTTCCTCTTTTTAAATTTTTTTTATGCCTTTGATATCTTTTTTTTTTCCTAACATTTGTTAAGAATTCTAGTACAATGCTGAATAGAAACTAGGAATACCATCTTGGCCCTGATTTTCAAGAGAATGCTTCAAAAATCTGCCCTTGTAGGATGATGTGTGTTTTTTGAGATAGCCTTTCTTACAATACACATACACACTCTTGAGGAGCAAGTCCACCAAACCAGGACTCAAGAGGTAACAGGGACTTATTGCTGTTCTCCCCACAACCACCCCAGAAAGCCCTGAGGGGGTGGTACCCACATTTCAATGGCTGACACATCACTGGTGTTGAACTTTCCTCTGGTAAGCAGCTCCGGGGTGATCCGCCCTTCAAATAAGAGGCCCTCCTTGGCCATCTTGACCAGGATCAGTCGAACCAGCTCCCCTATGTACATGCCACTGACCATCTTCTCAAACCTGCAGGAGACAAGCACGCCAGGCATTTGTCAGGTTCTTCCTGTATACCCAGCGGCAGGCGAACGGCCATGACGAATGGGAGAATCACAAATGGAGAAGACACCGCCTTGCCCCTCACGGGGTGACGGTCTCGTTAGAAGACAAGACCAGGCACTCGTGTGATCACACCATGGGGGCAGAGAGGGACTGGGCACCTATTCCAGAAAGGGTGGGTCATTCAGGCGGCACACCTGAGCCTGGGGAGGACAACAGAAGGAGAGCACCACAGGGCAGGAGCAGGCAAGGAGGCTGCCTGGAAGTGAGGGCAATGTCAGGATCGAGGCGGGGAACAGATAATAAGAAAGCCCTCGGACAGAAACGAGCAGAATATGGATATGATAATCTCTGACTTTTATACAAAGCTATATGCTATACTTTTTAAGGGCTCTCACACCCATCACCCCATCAGAAATATCCCAACCCCCTGGGAAGGAGGCGGCTAGGAAATATTATTGCCATTTCCCGGCTCAGAAAGGGTGACTGTCTTCTCCAAGGGAGGGCTGGCAGGGCTGCAGACGGAGCTGCTTCTTGTGGTGCCATCATCGGGGCATTCATTGGTCACCTCCCTGGCATCCATTTTTCCTTCTCCAGCCAAAAAGGCCAAGAATTTGCTTTGGGGAACCTAATCCTCCCCCACTGACTTCCCCCTAAATCCCAGGGTTGGGCTCTGAGTAGCTTAAGCCAATCAGCTCATCCACTACCCCAGCCAAGTTCAGGCACAGGCCACAGACAGTGAATCGCTCTCTCACATCCCCTGGTATGGTGTGTGGTGTGTGGTGTGAGGCACGGTGTGAGGGTGTGGGCTCTGTGCCTACAGCAGGCATTCTGAGTCCAAGGCTGCCAGGGAGAGGCCACCATGTGGAGCCTGAAAGTGATGCCCGACCACAGTGGAGAAGGGCCAGCAGAAGGCCAGCAAGGACGGGTGCTGGAGGCCACGTCTGCGCCAGATTCAGGCCCCACGGCACCCCTGGGCTGGGCGCACCAGAGCGGCAGGACCCCCACAAGCTGCCGCCTCTCCCCTGTGGGAGCCCAGCTGGCACACCGAGAGCTGGCTCTGACGTGGCAAACAATCTGTTCCAGTCGGAACCAGCCCCAGAGCCAAGGATGCTGCTGGGACCTAAGCACTACGCCCTCTGCTCAACACAGGGTGCAGAGCGACTTCAGCCTCATTAGAAACACAGTCCTCATTGTTCCCACTCCTGACAGGACCAGACAGGTCCACCCCAGCCGGGCTGTGTCAAAGATCCCTGGCAGGAGAGTGTCTTCGGAGTCTGAAGAGCCCAGTCGCCGCCCCCAGCACCTGTGGGAATGGCCTCTGGGCAACCCAAACCAGACCTCAGAGCTGGCAGGAGCCACAGTGGTCAGTCCTGGCTCTGCCACCTATTGGGCTATTCACCTCTCTGTGCCTTGGCTTCCTTGTCTGTATAATGGGGATAATGATAACGTCTGTTTATAGGGCTGATGTAAAAAAGAAATAGGTTAATATAGGTAAAGCGCTATTAAAAATAAATAAATAAATAAATCCATTGCCGTCGAGTCGATTCTGACCCATAGTGAGCCTTTAAGACAGAGTAGAGCTGCCCCGTGGGGTTTCCAAGGAGCGGCTGGTGGATTCGAACTGCTGACATTTTGGTTAGTAGCCGTATCACTTAACCACTGCAACACCAGGGTTCCAAAGTACTATGGTGCCCGGCTAATAATAAGCAGTTACAGTCCTTCCTCCATGTCGACACTTCTCAAAGCCTTTTATGTGTATTAACTTATTTCATCCTTATTATACCCCATGAGGTAGGTATTATCATTATCGCCATTTCACAGATGAGGAAACTGAGACACAGAAAGGTTACTTAGCTTGCCCACAGCCACAGAGTTAATAAGTTGCAAATCCACATTTTGAACCCAGTTAAATGTAACACCAGAGGCTATTCTAGTGACCTCTGTGCTGATCTGCCTCTCTGATGGGCAGTGTCATTAAATGTTAGCTATACTGCCATGTTAGGGGCCTCTGAGCCCCATTCCTAACCCAGCCTCTGCTGGTCCACCTCCAGCTCCCGTCCCCGCCAGGCAGCCTGTCCCACATGTTGGGCAGCCTCCCAATAGGAAAGGTTGCTCCCCTTAGGATGAGCTAAATCCTTCGACCCACTGCTTTTCGCTCTCTCCTCTAGAGACACCCAGAATGACCTGCTCCCTGGTCTACATGATGTATGTATGTTTTGTATCTTTTACATACATATATCCTGATACCCCCGTTTTTGGATAAAGGAGGTCCTGGACCACGGGTCTGTTCTTTTCCTGGCTCCTAGGACCCCTGCCAGGGATCAGGACACATTAACAGCACTGCCACCAGCCTCTCTCAGTCCCAGCCAAGGCTCCTGGAGACTGGCCGGGCTCCTGCTCCACCCACACGCTTCCCTTCTGCTTAAGCGAACCCAAGCAAGCACCGGTCAGACACCTATACACGACCCAGCAATGTCATAGTGTCCAGCATCCCTGCCAGCTGGTGGGCAGGCAGGGGTGAAACCCACAGGTCCTGGGAAGTAGGCTGGAAAGTGAGGGCAGGGGATCATATTCGGACAAAGAGAGCAATGAGCAAGGACTTGCACATCAATGAAGAGTTCCCGTGGCAGCTACGACTTGCTCTGACCCGCAGCCCTGGGAAAGAATAGGAGGGAGAGATCTGTGGCCAAGCAACCCACGACAGGAGCTGAAGACAGAGTCTACGGAGGAAGCCGAGCAGCAATAAGAAAAAGCATTTGGCGTTGACTTGAAAATATATGAGTTTATTCCACCACCAACCAGGCCAAAGAATTCTCCTGAACTACAGGGTTGGCTACTGTGGCCACAGCTGTTGCTCTTCTGTGGACAGTGTCTCCTTGCATTTAGAAGGATGTTCTAAATAAGGAATCACAGGGAAATGGGATTTGATATTCCAGACACAAACTCAGAAAACAGAAGAGCAGGAGGCCCAAGAAGGCGGGAGGGAAGGAGAACGAGAATTAAAAATGAAAGAAGGGAAATAAACTCACACGCCTATGGTTAACTGACTTTTGACAAGGCTGCTAACTCCATTCGACAGGGAAAAAAAAGAGTCTCTTCAATAAATGGTGCTGGGAACACTGGATTTCTTCATCCAGAAAAACAAAACAGGATATATGCCTTACATCATAAACAAAAACAAATTCAAAATGGATTAAGGACCTAAATGTACAAACTAAAACCATAAAATTCTTAGAAGAAATAGCAGGTGCAACACTGTAGGGCCTAACTTTTAACAATGGATTATCTAATAACAAAGCACAAACAGCAAAAGACAAAAATAACTAAATGGGACCTCATAAAAATTAAAAACTTTTGTTCATCAAAAGACATTACCAAAAAAGTGAAAAGACAAGCTACTGACTGGGAGAAGATCTTTAGAAATCATTTATCCAACAAGAATCTAAATATATATAAAACTTCAACAACTTAAGAACAAAAAGACAAATAACCTAATCATAAAATGAGCAAAGGATGTGAATAGACATTTCGCCAGAGAAGACATTCAAATGGCCATCGAACACATGAAAAGATGCTCAACATCACTAGCCATCAGAGAGATGCAAACCAAAACCACAATGATATACCATTTCACTCCCACTACGATGGCTAATACTGGGGAAAAAAAAAAAAAACAGAAAATAACAAATGTTGGTGAGGATGTGGGAAAACTAGAACCTTTATCCATTGCTGGTGGGAATGCAAAATGGTAAGCCTTTGTGGAAAACAGTGTGGTAGTTCCTCAAAAACTAAAAATAGAACTACCATATGATCCAGCAATTCCACTCCTAGGTATGTATCCAAAAAACTTGAAAACAGAGACTCAAACAGAGACTTGTACACCAATGTTCACTGCAGCACTACTCACAATAGCCAAAAGGTGGAAACAACCTAAATGCCCATCAACAGACGAATGGGTAAACAAAATGTAGTACATACATACAATGGAATACTACTCAGTCAGGAGGAGAAACAAAGTCTTGATACATGCTACAGTATGGATGGAGCTTGAAGACATGCTGAGTGAATTATGTCCATCACAGAAGGACAAATACTGTATGACCTCACTTACATAAAAAGACAAGAAAAGATACATGTATAGAAACCAAAGTTTATTAGTGGTTACCAAAGGCAGGGGGAAGGGAAAAGGAGCAATTAATGGTGATGGAAAAATCTCAGTTGTGCAACTGTACAAAGACAAACTGGCAAAAGTTGCGTGATAGATACATTTACAACAACAACAAAAAGAGTAGCTGCTGAAGCTGACTTTGTACCATCAAAGATCTCATGGGATTTGTTTTCTTGATTTGGAGGTTTAGCATCATGGCTTCATGGGACAGCCTGGTTAATTGGCCTAATAACGTGTTTAGTCCTTCTGTTCTACCTCCTAGTTTATTACATAGTGTCTGGGGTCTTAAAAGCTTGCAGTTGGCCATCCAAGGCACAACAATTTTTTGCCTAGAGCAACAGAGAAAGAAGGAGAGTCAGGATTGGAGGAGGATATGCAATGTGTGGCTAATTGCCTCCATGAACAACTCCCTCCTTTGCCATGAGACCAGAAGAAGTGGATGATGCCCGGTTACACTACTGAACATTTTGACCAAAGATTCTATAGAAGAACCCTGATCAAAAGGCGAAAATGTAGAAGAGAATTTCAAATTCTCATGGACTCCAGCTTCCTGGAGACTTGAAAGTTGGTTGAACCCCTGAAACTACTGCCCTGAGATAATCCTTAAACCTTAAACCAAAAATATCCCCTGAAGTCTTCTTAAAACCAAACAACAGTTTAGCTTAACTAGTAAAAAATCTCTGCCTTGAGCATTATGCTCTTTTAAAAACTATATGGGATCAAAGAGACAACAGTAACTCAAAAGATTAGATAGGAAACTTTGGGGGCAGTGAATGTACATTACGTTATTGGGGGAGGAATAACTCAGAAAAGGATGGTGAGAAGGTTGCAAAACTCGGGGAATGTAATCAATGTCATTGAATTGTACATGTAGAAATGGTTGTTGAATTGGTTTATGTTTTGCTGTGTATATTTCCAGCAACAACAAAATTTTTTTTTTTAATTTTAATAATAATAATAAAATAAATGAATAGTCATGGATGAAAAACCAGGGAATCCCTGGGTAGCACAAATGGTTAAGCACTCAACTACTAACCAAACCCAGCCAGAGGCACCTCAGAAGAAAGGCCTGACGATCTGCTTCCAAAAGATCACAGCCTTGAAAGCCCTATGGAGCAGTTCTACTCTGCACACATGGTGTCACTATGAGTCAGCACTGACTAGACAACAGCTGGTTTGGTTTTTTTTAAGACCATCCGTGATGTTTTTTTCCATGAATGATGAGAGATACCTCTTGGAGATTCTAGAGGCTCACTCTGAAGATTCAAACTTTAAGACAGGACAGAAAACTCCAAGCCTAAATCAGAGTAAACCTCAAAAAAGAGCCTTGGGCCAGTTTTGTCCTATACTGGTGTCTTAGCTTTCCCACGAGTAAAACAGAACACCTTTCCCTGCACACAGAGGACAAAATGGCTTTGGAGAACTTGGCATTGCACAGAAGAAACATAGGAAAGGCCCAAAAGACTTAAGTACGATCCTGGGAGAACAGCAAAACCGGCTTGACCTAAATTTTACTAAGCTTTGGCCAACAGCTTATTTCCAGGAATATATGATGCAACTCAAGGATTTGTAATCTCCTTGGATTTTTGTTGTTGTTGTTGTTGTTGTTGGGAATTGTTTACAGTGGAGTTGTTCTTAACAAGACCTGACCTTTGGTGATCAGTAAGCAGGGAAGTGTACTGGAGAAGACAGACTTCACAGCCTTTCACTCTTTCACCCATCTGCTTGTTTATCCACCCACCCATCTCCCATCCACCTATCTACCATCTACCAACCCCCCATCCATCCATCCATCCATCCATCCATCCACCCATCCACCCCTATCCACAATCTATCCACCCATCTACCCATCCCAAAAATGTCTACAGCAAGCCCACTGTAAACCCAGTTCACAGTTCAGCCTGGGCATACACTTTAGCCCTTTAGAGAAATTCAGTAAATCCATCAAGGATGGACAATCAAGAAATCTGGGTTTACACCCAACTCTGCAGGTGGCTCCCAAACCGGGGCTAAGGGTACAGACAAGGGACTGGGCCATATCTGCTCAGTTATCACAGGTGGCCTGCCCCACTGCAGTGCTGAGAAGGGGGACTTCTGAGTAAGTGACTGAAAGTCCCTATAGGTATATAATCTCTTATCTGAAACCCTTGTGGTCAGATGTGTTTTGGAATGTAAAGATGTGAGGATTTTAGAACCACAATATGGTGCACACGCTAAATATTACAGAACACTCCCAGAGGTGCCTGAGGCGGCACTGTAAGCAAGCACATTAATAGGTCTGCAGTACAACTTACCCACCACCCATCCATCAGTCTGTCATACTGTGCTAGCTGTGCTTTTGTATTACTATGATGCTGGAAGCTATGCCACCGATATTTCAAATACCGGAAGCGTCATCCAAGGTTTCAGCAGAGCTTCCAGACCAAGAAAGACTAGGAAGAAAGGCTTGGAGATCAACTTGCAAAAATTAACCAATGAAAACCCTATGGATCAGAACAGCATATTGTTACTTTGAACACATCATCTGGAAAGACCAACTGTTGGAAGGGGACATCATGTTTGGTGAAGTGGAGGGCCAGTGAAAGCAAGGAAAGCCCTCAATAAGATGGACTGACACCGTGGTTGCAACAATGGACTCAAACGTACCAGCGATCACGGGGATGACATGGGACTAGGCAGCAGCGTTTCATTCTGTTGTACAAGGGGTCGCCATGAGTCGGAGCCAACTCAAACGCAACTAACAACAACAACAGTACAACAGTCACAGTAAATAGCTTAATGTTAGTCGCGGTCAAGTTTTACCACCAACGGATTGGGAAAAAGAAAAGAAAAACAAAAAGAGTTGGCTTTCAGAGCTTTGGGACTGTGGATAAGGTATTGTATGTGGCCTGGTGCCCCAGGCTCTGGCTGCAAAGGACATGTTCAACTCTGGATCTAAGAACTTGGGATTTCTCTCATTGAGAAACCTAACTTGCTCACCACCACCCCTGGTTGTGAGGAACTGGGTTGGCCATTTATGCAACTCTATTAATTCAGGTGGAAAGCCCCATCTTCCAGCCTGGAGTATTGAGCTGGGTAATGGGCTTCAGAATGACTAGCAGACTCCTGTCTGTTTCTCTTTGGTGTAAGGATAAGTGCCGTTGGGCCAAGAGGGTCAGTGAACATGAAAAGATGGAATATCAAGGAGGGAGGGGGACGGAAGGGGCTTTTGCTTAGAGCGTATTGAAGGTATGTTATAATTTGGAAAAAGACATTGAAAATAGTTGTACAACTTGAAGAATGTAATCTATGTCACTGAAGTGTACATACAGAAATCGATTAAACGTTTTATGTGTTCTTGTGTGTATTTCAATATTTAAAAAAAAAAAAAAAAAAAAAGATGGACTATCAAGCCAGCCCATTCTATCAAGCCTCTCTGCAGGCCAACAGCATCAAACTCTGAGGTTAAGATGGCTGGAAGGCTGGGTTAATCAGAGAGGGTCAGCCTCATGCTAGAATTACAGAGTAATGTGAAAACTTGAGTACGCATTTCAGAACGTAAGTGGCTGGATGAAGTAATACCCGCTATTACAGACTGAAATGTATTCTCCAAAAAGATATTTTAAAGTCCTAATCCCCAGTGCCTGTGAACATGACTTTGTTTGGAAACAGGATCTGTGAAGATGGTATCAGTTAACATGTGGTCATACTGGAGTATGGTGGGCCTAATCCAATGTGAATGGTGTCCTTAATAAAGCGGAGAAGAGACACGGAGGGAAGACAGACATGAAGACAGAGGTGGAGACTGGAGTGATACATCTACAAGCCAAGAAACACCAAAATCATCAGCCTTCACCAGTAGCTAGGAGAGGGGCATGGAACGGATTCTCCCTCAGAGCCTTCAGAAGGAACTAACCTTCTGAACACGTTAAGTTCAGACTCCTAGACTCCAGAACAATAAACTTCTGTTCTTATAAGTCACCCAATTTGTGGCGCTTTGTTAGGAAAGCCTTAGGAAGCTAATATACCCACTCTAGCCTAAATAATGTCACTGTACTGCTGGAGCCAGGAGCTCACAGATGCCCAGAACGACTTGCCTGGCCAGCCTGATGTTCCCCATCAACTCCGACCCATCGGCCTACACTTGACAGGGAAGACGTTTCTCCATGCTCCAGTCTCCCAAAGGTCTGAGCCTTGATGCGTATGGTTCTCACCCTCATCTGCACTACGGATATTTGCATGTGTAACTTACCTCCCATCTAGACAGGAAGTCCTGGAAGAGAAGGCACTGTTTTGTATCCTCGGAGCTCAGCACAGAGCTCGGCACATACAAGTGCTCCAAAATACGTGCTGAATGAATGGACATTCCCCTTGCTCGGCAGGGCCCCACATACCACGTGACCATATATACAGTGACGACTATATATAAAAACATTCTAAACCTTAACTAATGCTTCTGTGCTTTTAATTTTCTGAATGTTTTACCAGGACGCAATCAAAGAGGACATCATTTAGAAAGTGCTTTTCAAGCTGCAGATTCCACAACTGTGCATCTAAGGAGCAACGGATAAAGGAAATTTGGCGGGCTTTTCCCTTTTGGACCTCATTAGAATCCTGGGTGGTACAAACAGTTAAGTGCTTGACAACTAACTGAAAGGGTGGCAGTTAAAGCTCACCCAGAGGCGCCTTGGAAGAAAAGCCTGGCAATCTGTTTGTGAAAGGTCACAGCCTTAAAAATCCTATGGAGCAGTCCTCCTCTACACGCAAGGGGTCACCATAAGTTGCAATCGACTCAATGACAATTGGTTTGCACAGCTGGGTGGCACAAATGGTAAAGAGCATGACTATAAACCAAAGGTTAATGGTTCAAACCCACCCAGAGGTGCCTCAGAAGAAAGGCCTGGCAATCTACTTCCAAAAGGTCACAGCCTCGAACACCCTATGCAGCAGTTGGGGGGTGGCCATGAATCAAATCGACTCAACAGTAACTAACAACAACAACAAACTGGCTTTAAGTCCCTTTCACTTCCCACCCTAAATCTCTGTGTGAAGTGTCCCCTACATTAGCTACATGGCTAGTAAGGAAAAGGTCAGAGACTCACAGTTGCTTTCCCGGGTTGAGGGAGCCCCGGTCTATCTCTCGATCAAACTCAGTCCGGATGTCTTCTAGGGACCCGTCATCCCCAAAGGCCCCCCACTCCGTGTTGATGCACATCCTCCCCTCGTCGCCTTCCACCAGGTCAATGTACCTCAGTTCCTCCATGTAGCAAGCATTTGTGCCAGTGCCTTGGAGAGACAAGATGGGAAGCTGTGACCACACAGACCGAGAGAGGAGGCAGTGCCTTCTCAAAAGGTCTGCTGAGTGAGGGATGAGCAGAAGGGTGACGTTACCAATGATCAGGCCGACTTCACAATGCTGGTCGTCATAGCCACAGGTCATCATGGTCCCCACTGTGTCATTCACCACAGCCACAATGTTGGCGTCGTAGTCCTGGGGACAGATAACGGGGTGTCACCGTCTACCCACACGTCCTAATGACCACCACTCCTCTTCTTGGTGGTGCTGGTTTCATTACTGCTGGTGCTCAAATTAACTGGATTAGGGTGCAGTGATTAAATTATGGAAAATGCACAGTCCCCTCAATTATCTGGCTTAAAATCCTTTTGAGAGTTGATTTTACACATGGAACCACATTGCTCTTCAAATCAACTCATTACATCCCTGCGCCAGCTATAACATCAGCTCCTCTGGCCGTGTTCTAACCACAGAAGGGTACCTGCCGACACGGCTCCCTGCAGCCCCACACTCTGCTGTTGGAAGGAGGTGACCGCACACCCAAAGGTTTGGTTCCTTTGGGCAGCTCCCTTTGGGTGGCACTTCTGAGAGTTCTGTGTGGAGCCACCCCTGTCCTTCTGGTCTGTGGACCCTCCTCACTCACCTGCCCAGGTCTTCAAGATCTCAAAACCATGGCACTCTCCGACCACAGACCTCCGCCCTCCTGCTCCGTTGAAAGGACCTTGGTCTGTTTTAGAGCACAGCCTTCTCCCCACACCTACCACCTCTGCATGGCAGAGGCAAATGGCCCAGAGAGAAATTACCCCTCGTTTCTTGATGGCTTTGTCAAGCAGCTTCACCACGTCTGCTCCCTCTACTCCACTTGCTTTAAATCTCTTTGTCCAGGTGATCAGGACGGCCTGCAAAGGAGAGCAGATAGGTTGGACAAGGCTGGGAAGCCTCTAGAATCCCCAGGTCCCTGGAGAGGCTGCTCAAAGACAGTGAAGAGAGGCCCAGAGGGGCACAGTGGCTTATCCAAGATCATGGCGGGTGATAGAGTTGGACTCCAATTCCATGTCCTCTCCATCCACCAGATGCATTTCTCTGGGGACTGCCAAAGAATAAAAACCAGCCTACAAAATCCAGCTCACACTAAAATAAAGAAAGTGGCCAGCCAGTTCAGTAGTGTCACTCAGCGTGCAAGCCTAACTGGATTTCAAACGCACAGCCAGAATCCACTAAAGACAGCAGGAGAAATCTCGTTCATACCTGATAACCCTTCCCCACAGCCCTTGGCTCCCACAGCTCCAAGGAATGGAAGCCAGAGCCAAGTTGCAAGAGAAAGAAAATGCTAAGATAGTTCTTGGTTGTTGAGCTTCTAAAAGTCCGATTTTGGAGGTTTAAGGGATAATGTTAACTATGTGTGATTTGGGAGCCCAGTGGTGTAGCGGTTAAGTGCTTGGCTGCTAACTAAAAGGTTGGCAGTTTGAACCTACCAGTTGCTCTGTGGGAAGAAGATGTGGCAGTCTGCTTCCGTAAAGGTGACAGCCTTGGAAACCCTATGGGGCAGTTCTACTCTGTCCTATAGGGTTGCTATGAATTGGAATCAACTCGATGGCGATGGGTTTGGTTTTTGGTTTTTATATGTGATTTATGCCTTATTCACCAGCTTTGGAACTTTACCCCCATTTGTAAAGCTGTGACTCCACTCTTTATACAATATGATCCCATTTCTATTTGTACATTAATGAAGAAACATCCAGAAGAATAGACAGCCAATGGTTATTCACTTCAGTATGTGGAGAGGTAGGAAACATACTATTTGCTTCACACATTTTTATATTATTTAATAGTTTTACATATTGCTTTTGTATTAAAAAAATAAATACAAGATGCTAATAAGCAAAATACTATTATACTGGAATCCTTTTCTCTAAATGGAGACAGTAGCTATAAATGCTGTAGCAGGGTTGGGAAGATTCCCTGTTCAGACCCTGTTGCCTCTGGGGAGACACAGAGATGGACATCTTGCTCACCAGCATGCACCACCCTTGCTAACGGTGAAAGCCACAGCAGCCTGTGAGAACACTTGGAAGGACGAGACCAGCCCGTGAGAACACTTGGAAGGACGAGCCTTGATGAGAACTGGTGGTTCTTCTCCAAGCAGCAGCCTGTGGCTAGGCCGGGCATGCCAAAGCCCCTGGACACACTACCTCCTCCTGAGGCTTCCCCTACCCCATCAAAAAAGACTCAGAGAACATGTGGGATTGGTAGTCAGGAGACCTGGTCCTATTTCCACACCTTTTGTCCATTTCCTGCGGGTGGTTCCTTAACTCCTCTGAGGTTCACTTTGCCCATCTGTAGGATAAGGAGCTGGTCTAGATTTGAATAGTCTTGAAGGTTGCAGCCAGCTCCAAGGAGTGGGCACAGGGCCCCTGGATGGGTAACCACTGGCTTCCTGCAGGTAGCACGCTCCAGCCCAGGAAGCTCTCCTAGATGTGCTCAAGGCCAGGGTTTGGGGCCCCCACCCTGGGCTCCTTCTCTGCCCACTATGCTCCTCTCCCAGGTACATCTGCTCTGCCCTGTGAGGGCTCTCATTCCCCCACACCTCCTGCAATGCCTTCACCCTGGAAGACTGTGCCTCCTGGGAGGGCAGCCATGTCTACCCAGGTCTCCCAGGGCCTTCTCCAGGGCCCGGCCACACAGCACACAGGAAATAGCTGCTGATGAACGGACGTGCGACACTAACGCACGGCTCACCCAGTCCAGCCCCCCGAGGTCTGAGGTCTCTTTATCCCAGACCATCTCCTACCTCTCACAGGGGGTCACGAGGAGCCCCGAGAACCACCTCTCTGCCCAAAGAGCACGAATATCACGTCCTGCTTCTCCAAAGCCAAGGGATGTTGCAAGAGGGTTTGGAAAAGACACCCTGGAGGCAAAGTTGACCTGAACTCTCTTGGGGGTGTAGCAACCCCCAGAGCAGAGAAAGAGGCTCAATGTGACCACAATGGCTGCTTGAAAAGATAAAAGGACACAAGAAGCCCTGCCCCATGCCTCACCTCCTCTTCCTCCCTGCTCTCCAATGAACTCACTCCTAGAGGTTTGCAGGAAGGCCTCTTGCAAACCGGCTCCCCTCACCTCCCTGGGAACTTGGGTCAAATGGGTAAGTATGTTCTGTCTCCCCCCAGGTCACAACCTCCTTCCTGGCACAGTGACAGTCAATAACAGTGCTCAAGAGCGGACACCATAGGCTATGTCTTCTCCTGGGACCCCTGTCCCTGGGGAGAGGGCTGGACCACCACCACCACCCAAATACTCTTTTCTCTGCTCCTAAGACCCGCTGGGCTTTCACCCTGGCCCTCTTCAAAAGCCCCTGCACTGGCCCTACACCATCAGTTCAGGTGGGTGTGGAGTGAGAAGTCCTTCTCCTTTCATCGAGATCTTTGGGGATCACAGACTGGAATATAAGGCCTACAGCTGCTGAGGCCCAATCCCTAACAGTTGAGGCTCCCCGCTTCCTCTCGGTGGCCCCCGCCTTTTTCTCCTCACCAGGACTTCGTGGGAAATACTCTGCCTCCAAAGTGACTTTGGGAGTGGGGCTCTGGGATGAGACAGCAACACCCCAGAGGCATTATGTTGGAAGGCGGGAGGCCACTGGCTGGGAAATGGGGCCTGGGATCCTGGTGTGGATCTCCCTTTAATAAGCCATGTGACCTTGGGAGGCCTCAGTTTTCCCATCTGTGAAATGAGGGGCTGGGCCTGCTGAGCTCTCAAGCCCCTCCTTGCTGTAACATTAGTGATTCCACAAATATACAGATGTAAGGGCTCAGCAGCTGAAGTGGTGCCCAGGAGAGGGTGCTTACCCTACTGATAAAGGGGTGCAGGGGCACTGCCAGGAGACCTAGAGGGTGCTGTGTATCCAAACGTTACTATCCTGCAGCAAAGTAGAGCACCTGCGAGCATGGGCTCTGGAGCCAGACTGCCCGGAGCTAATCCAGGCTCTATGCTTCCTGTCTGTGTGACCTTGGGCAAGGTTCTTAACCCCTCTGAGCCTCAGTTTTCTCATCTGTAGAGTGGGAATCATAAGTACTTTACTCATAGGGATGTTTGAAGATCACATGCATTAATTGTGAAGTGCATACTAGAACGATGCCTGGCACACCGTGGGCATCAATAATGCGAGCCATCAGTGTTCCTGGAGCCCTGGTGGCACAGTGGTTAAGAGCTCAGCTGCTAACCAAAAGATCGGCAGTTCGAATCCACCAGCCCTCCTTGGAAACCCTATGGGGCAGTTCTACCCTGTCCTATAGGGTCGCTATGAGTTGGAATCAACTCAACGGCAACAGGTTTTTTGGTTATCAATATTCCTATTATCAGGAGTTTATTCAGAGGTTGCTCTGTGTGTATGTGTTTGTGTATTTAAAAAAAAACAAAACCCGTTGCCGTCTAGTCAATTTCAACTCAGAGCAACCCTACAGGACAGAGTAGAACTGTCCTATAGGGTTTCCAAGGAGTGGCTGGTAGATTTGAACTGCCAATCTTTTGGATACTAGCCTGAGCTCTTAACCACTGTACCACCAGGATGCCATATATATATAGGGTTGCTATGAGTCGCAGTCGACTCAACGGCAGGGGATATATAAATATATATACTTGATAGGTCTGAGTCTATCCTTGTTGATCAGATAAATGAATGAACAAGTGACAAACAAGCAGTCGGGTGCAACAAGTCACCCAGAAGTCAACAAGGGAACTCAGAGCCTCTCCAGAGCTGGGGCTACTGACCAACAGATGCTGTCAAGTGGGGCCCTGGCACTGACGGAGTGAGGTAACCAGGATGGCGCCCAGGTAAACCCACACTGTGCAACTCCAACAAAGGGCTTTCCAGCCTCCCTCCATCATCATCACACCGGGTTTGTTTTCCTTCACTGGCATGAGTTTTATAACTGGTTCTTTCTACCTCATGGCCACAAATATCATGATTCATCCCCAAAGACACATAAATAATTAAACGAATTGGGAAATAAAATCATCACCTCACATCAATTTCTGCAAATGTTTCTCAAAAAATACAAGACAGGAGGCTATCCTCTAAGTGAAAGGGAAAATTCATCGAGAAAGAGGGTTCCTTAGCTTTTCCACTTTGGGGGCTTCTGTGGGGCCTGGTTTAACCCCAGGACGTCCTTACCTCATCAATTTTGGATTGTCGGCAGGGGAAAGAAAACGTGAATCCCACAGGTAATTTCTTGTCCTTGATTTTCTTCTTCTCCATGAAGTCTCCCAAGCACTCAGCGACGTGATCGAAAAGCTGGAGGAGGCATGACAGAGCAGTCACGCAGGAGGAAGGGGGCTTAACATTTTAGGAAAAAATGTAAACAATTCCCTCCCACACACACAGGAAAGAGCATGTCTACCCAAGCTGAGGAGTCCCTGAGTGGGGCAAATGGTTAACGTACTCAGCTGCTAACCAAAAGGTTGGAGGTTCGAGTCCACCCAGAGGTGTCTCAGAAAGGCCTGGTGATCTACTTCTGAAATATCAGCCATTGAAAACCTTATGGAACACAGCTGTACTCTAACACACACAGGGTCACCATGAGTCAGGGTCGATTCAATGGCAACTGGAACTGGACCCAAGCTGTCCATCCCCAAAGAACTAGCCGCCTTGTTTGAAAACCCACCGCGTGTATGAATGGTCAAGAAGGGTCAAAAAGAGACTGCCGTGGGGGCCAGCACGGCCCTTCGGAACCACTTCAAAAACTTAAAACAGAACCGGCCTCTCAGTGGTCTCTGATATGTATTATCTGGGTACTGAGAAAATTCAAACATAAGACAGAATCAGCTCCTCCTCTGTGACATACAGGCTGTGGGTGCACATCAAACCCCTCCACCATGTGGCCCCTCCCCACACTTCTAGCTCTGTAAATTCCAGAAGCTCCACAGGCAACTCCATAGAGGGATTTAACAACCTTCACACTACTATCATCTTTTTGCTTTTTACTGAGTATAATATATATATTACATGTACACAAAATGCACACATTATCATTGTGGAGCTCACTGGATTCTCACATACCTGTGTAACCAGCACCCAGATTAAGAGCCGCATTATCAGACCCAGATGCTCACCTCATGTCCCCTGAAGTCACCACCACTGCCACCCACCAAGGGCGACTGTGAGCTGCTCTGACTTTGAACACCCTAGATTTGTTGTGCCTGTCTTCTGCATATAAACGGGATGATACAGGGTGTGCTCTTGGGCACCTGCCTTCCTTCACTCTGTGTTGTGGGTATGAGTCATCTGTGTTATCATATGCCTTTGCAGCTCCTCCTTTTCACTGCTGCATAGTATTCCATGGAGTGAATACACTACCATTTGTTTACTGGGTTGCAGTTCAAGCTTGCCTGCTCCACTACCCATTACCTTTGATTTAACAGGCACAAACGTATCCTAGGAATCCGCTAAAAGAACCCACAATACTGGTTCCCTAACTTCGGCATGAATACTGCCCAAGATGGGAGACTCACCACTTCAAAGGCAACATTTTTGGATCTCTGTAATACCTCTCCTCATCTCTATAGTGTATCCTGGACTGAATATAATATTCCATATGTGTTCTAACCAGAGGAGAGCTTAGTAGAATTAATAACCTCCCTTATCTTTGGCTGTAGATCTCTATGAATGCAACCAAAGCATATGTATGCTCTTTGGCTGCCATACCACAGTCTAGGTAAACCCCCTATCTTTCTCACATTGCTGCTATGACACTGGGCTTCCCACATGTATCCTTCTACCATCAAGACCAGTTTGTTTATGTCTGGGATCAACACAGCCATGAGCTTCTTGGAGCCCAAAAGAAGGCAAGGTCAAACTGCATGGTCACGTGAAGCAGCCCCAGCCTATGTTTCCAGACCAGGTCATCTACCTGAGGGCTTTTCTTGCAGGGGCATCCTTGAGAGGGGCCAGGTGTCATTATTCCCAGCCCCATCTTTCCCCAGATGCTCCCGACCCAGCTCTGAAGTCTGACTTTCCTGCCAGGGTAAGAAAAACTTGGTCAGTTTTGATTCAGAAGTCTCTGCTCCTGAGTCACAAGAACTCAGGCTGGAGCTGAGGAGACACATGACCACCTTCCCTGGCTAAGCTTCCTGCGACCTACATTCCAGACTGATATACAGCCATTGCTAAGTCCATCTGCACACCCCACGTCATCTGTCCTCAGAAGCTCTGGACTTCCCTGCAGCCCTAGGATAGAAGCAGGGCTATTGCAGGAAGTAGCAGGGAAGTGCCTGGGAAGGGCTGCAGAAACAGATTCACATGAACCAGCTCCAGGATCCTGACTGAAAACAACTCCCCCAAAGCACTCCCTTAAGAAAATGTCGTTTCTGCAGAAGGCTCACAGTCCAGGGGCTACAAGCCAGGAAGGAACCCCTGGGCTAACCTGGACTCCTCCCCATAGCTGTGATCAACCTAGGAGGCCAGTGACCCCACCTCTCTGGACTCAAACTTTCTGTGTCTAAAAAATGTTCATTTTTAATGTCCTGGCAACATGCTCATTATAAAAAAAAATGTTTTAAACCCCCACCCCTCCAAATCAGTTCCTCTGACTGAGGATGGTAAAGACTAAAACAAAAACTTAAAAATGTATTATTCAAAATTCCCAAAACCAACAAAGTAATATTTTAAGTATACTTCTGAAATTATTAAAATTTAAAATTGCATTCAGACTTTTGGGACACCGTGTGTGTGTGTGTGCGCGCGCACGCATGCGTACGTGTATGCGTGCACTCGTGTGTGGAGAGAGACAGGAAGAGGTAGCAGGCAGAGCAGAGAGAAAGAAAAGGATAAATCAAATAGTTAACTGGGGAATCTGGGTGAAGGTATCTTATAGGACCTCTTTGTTACCATCTTAAAACTTTTCTGCAAGTTTAATATTATTTCAAAATAAAAGTTTAAAATCTATTAAAAATTCCCCAACATTAGAGAAGATGAGAGTCCCTATAATCACAACCCTAATAATTTATCACTGTTAATCATCTGTGAGACTGAGCTGCTTCATGGGTAAAATGAGGACCCTGGTCTACCAGACTATTCTATAGGTCGACAGAAAAACGCAGGATTATTTCTAACCTCACACCAAAATTCTGGAGGAAGGGTTCCTGTTTTAATCCCAACTTTTTATCTTCCGACCCTCTGCCTCACGCCCCAGACTTTCTTCCTTCCCTGCAGCCCTCACATTTCCTCACCATCAAAAAAAATAAAAAAACAGAAATCAAAACAATAAAGACAAAACCCAGCCCAGGAGCACCACACTGCTGAAACAGTTAACATCTGGAACCAGACAGCCTGGATTCAAACAGCAGCTCCAACCTTATGAGCTGTGTAGCCCATGGGCTGATGACTTGACGTCTGAGCCTCAATTTTCCCATCTGTAAAATGGGAATAATAACAATACTCACTTCATAGGGTTGTTGTGATGATTAAATGAGTTATTACAGGTAAAGTACTTAGATCAGTAACTTGCATGTAACAAATACTATGTCTTTGCTATAATAATACTATATTACTATCACCATCTTCTCTTTGCAGACTGCCTGGAATGGGCAAAGGAAGAAACAGAGACAGTGCGGGACAAAGCAGTGCTGGGAATGAGAAGAGGGGAAGATGAGACAGAGGCTGGGAGAGACACAGTCACCAGGGGCAGCAGAAAGAAGGAAGTCGCTGGACATGAACTCAGTGAGGAGTGTGCACTTGTACATACGTGGGGGGGGGGTGCTGTTGTAGGGTGCCATGGAGTCAGTTCCAACTCACAGCGACCCTGTGTACAACAGAACAAAACACTGCCTGGTCCTGTGCCATCCTCAAAATCCTTGCTGTGTTTGAGCCCACTGTTACAGCCACTGTGTCAATCCATCTTGTTGAGGGTCTTCCTCTTTTTCAATGACCCTCTACTTTACCAAGCATGACGGTCTTCTACAGGGACTGATCCCTCCTGATAACACGTCTGAAGTATGTGAGACTTAGTCTCTCTATCCTCTCTTCTAAGGAGCATTCTGGCTGCACTTCTTTCAAGACAGATTTGTTCGTTCTTCTGGCAATCCATGGTATATTCAACATTCTTCACCAACACCATAATTCAAAGGCATCAATTTGTCTTCAGTCTTCCTTATTCACTGTCCAGCTTTCAAATGCATATGAGACAACTGAAAATACCATGGCTTAGGTCAGGGGCACCTTAATCCTCAGAGTGACATCTTTGCTTTTTAACACTTTAAAGAGGTCTTTTGCAGCAGATTTGCCCAATGCAATACGTCGTTTGATTGCTTGACTGCTGCTTCCGTGGGCATTGATTGTGGATCCAAGTAAAGTGAAATCCTTGACAATTTCAATCTTTGCTCCGTTTATCATGATGTTGCTTACTGGTCTAGTTGTGAGGATTTTTGTTCTCTTTATGTTGCGGTGTAATCCATACTAAAGGCTGTAGTCTTTGATCTTCATCTTAAGTGCTTCAAGTCCTCTTCACTTTCAGCAAGCAAGGCTGTGTCACCTGCATATCACAGGTTGTTAATGAGTCTTCCTCCAATTCTGATGCCGTGTTCTTCTTCACATAGTCCAGCTTCTTGGATTATTTGCTCAGCATACAGATTGAACAAATATGGTGAAAATATAATCTTTATGCACACTTTCCCCGATTTTAAACAACACAGTATCCCCTTGTTTTGTTCAAACGCCCACCTGTTGGTCTATGTACAGGTTCCACGTGAGCACAATTAAGTGTTCTGGAACTCTCATTCTTCACAATGTTATCCATAATTTGTTATGAACCACACAGTCAAATGTCTTTGTATGGTCAATAAAACACAGGTAAGCATCTTTCTGGTATTCTCTGGTTTCAGCCAAGATCCATCTGACATCAGCAATGATATCCCTTGTTCCACATCCTCTTCTGAATATGGCTTGAATTTCGAGCAGCTCCCTATGTACTACTGCAACTGTTTTTGAATTATCTTCAGCAAAATTTACTTGAGTGTGATATTAATGACATTGTTGGATAATTTCCACATTCTGTTGGATCACCTTTCTTTACAATGGGCACAAATACGGATCTCTTCCAGTTGGTTGGCCAGGAAGCTGTCTTCCAAATTTCTTGGCAAAGACGAGTGAGCACCTCCAGAATTGCATCCGTTTGTTGAAACATCTCAATTGGTATTCTGTCAATTCCTGGAGCCCTGCTTTTCACCAATGCCTTTAGTGCAGCTTGGACTTCTTCCTTCAATGTCATCGGTTCTTGATCACATGCTACCTCCTGAAATGGTTGGATATCAATCAATTCATTTTGGTACAGTGACTCTGAGTATCCCTTCCATCTTCTTTTGATGTTTCTTGCGTCATTCAATATTTTGCCCACAGAATCCTTCAATATTGAAACTCGAGGCTTGATTCTTTTCTTCAGTTCTTTCAGCTTGAGAAATGCTGAGCGTGTTCTTCCCTTTTGGTTTTCTAACTCTAGGTCTTTGCACATTTCAGTATAATACTTTACTTTGTCTTCTCAAGTTGCCCTTTGAAATCTTCTGTTCCCCTCTTTTACTTCATCATTTCTTCAGTTCACTTTAGCTACTCTAAGTTCAAGAGCAAGTTTCAAAGTCTCTTCAGACACCCATTTTGGTAATTTCTTTCATATCTTTTTAACGACCTTTTGTTTTCTTCATATATGATGTCCTTGATGTCATCCCACAACTCATCTGGTCTTTGGTCATTAGTGTTCAATACATCAAATCTATTCTTGAGATGGTCTCCAAATTCAGGTGGGATATACTCAAGGTTGTATTTTGGCTCTTGTGGACTTTCTAAAATTTCTTCAGCTTCAGTTTGAAGTTGCATAAGAGCAATTGATGGTCGGTTCTGCAGTTGGCCCCTGGCCTTGTTCTGACTAATGATATTGGGCTTCTTCATCGTCTCCGCCACAGATGTAGTCAATTTGACTCCTGTGTACTCTATTCGGTGAGGTCCACGTGTATAGATAGTCACAGTTTATGTTGTTGAAAAAAGGTATTTCCAATGAATAAGTCACTGATCTTGCAAAATCTTTATCACGCAATCTCCGGCACAGTTTCTATCACCAAGGCCATATTTTCCAACTACCGATCCTGGCTTACAACTTTCGAATTCCAATCACTAGTAATTATCAATGCACCTTGACTGCATGTTTGATTAATTTCAGATTGCAGAAGTTGGTAAAAATTTTCAATTTCCTAATCTTTGGCCCTAATGGTTGGCGTGTGTCTTAGTCATCTAGCGCTGCTATAACAGAAATACCACAAGTGGATGGTTTTAAGGAAGAGAAGTTTACTTCCTCATAGTCAAAGTAGGCTAAAATTCAGGGCATCAGCTCCAGGGGAAGGCTTTTTCTGTCGGCCTTCTTCTCTTCAGTGTTAACCCGGACTAGGAGCTTCTCCAAGCAGGGACCCCGGTCCAAAGGACACACTCTGCTCCTGGCACTGCTTTCTTGATGGTAAGAGGTCCCCCGGTCTCACTGCTCACTTCTGTTTTTATATCTCAAGAGATTGCCTCAGGACACAATCCAGTCTTATAGATACGGTCCTGCCTTACTAACACAACTGCCACCCATTCTTCCTCATTAACATCATAGAGGAAGGTTTACAACATACAGGAAAACCACACAGTACCAGGAATCATGGCCTAGCCAAATTGATACACACATTTTTTGGAGGACATAATTCAAACCATGACAGTGTGTAAATTTGAATAATAGTCATATTAACTCGTCTTCCTTGTAGGCATATAGATATTATCCTATCACTGACAGCGTTGTATTTCAGGATAGATCTTGAAACGTTCTTTTTGACGATGAATGTGACACCATTCCTCTCCAGTTTGTCACTCCTGGCATAGAAGACCATATGATTGTCCAATTCAAAATGACCAATACTCATCCATTTCAGCTCACTATTACCTAGGATATCAATGTTTTATACGTTCCATTTCATTTCTGACGAGTTTCAATTTTCATAGATTTATACTTCACACATTCCACGTGTGTGTGACAGGGAGTACTCCCTTTATTTGCAAATCCCACTCCTAAAGGTCAGGCCAAAAAGCATACAGGGAATGTTTACAGCAGGAGTGAGTGTCGGTGGTGAAGGCAGCAGGCAGAGGTACTTCAACCCAAGGACATGGGGAACACACAGTGACAGGTGAGTGTTTGTTGCCAAATGGAAAGAGCAGGATGCCAAAAATCTGAGGCTGCTGGGTCCCTGAAAAAAGGAACAACACAGTGGCCAACTGGGCACTACTAGGAGACCTAACAGCAGGAGCCTTCACACACATCTGAAATGGATGGTCCAGTTTCCACAGCCCAGGAACAGAGTAATAAGTGGGGGACCTGCAGGCAGGGCCATCGTACGAGGGGTGTACCAGTGTCAGACTGGCTGTCGAGTGGCCCATTTGTAATGGTGACAGGGTCACCTTTGACACTTGCTGTGACATGGTCTGAGGAGCTGAGCCCAAAGCCCAGGGAGCAGGTTAAAGGCCAGGAGAAGCCCTGGTCTTGCAGACAGAAAAGAGGACTTGCTCCAGGTCTCGCCCATGTTAGTTTCAGCACAAAGCGTAGTCAGGAGGATACGGCTCCTGGGTCTCCTCTCTAAGTCCACCCCAGAACAAATGGGTTTTCTGGAGAACTTGGTCACGAACCCTGTAGTAAACACACCCTCCGCAAAGCAAATATTTGGCAAGCTTTGAATAGGGATCCTGGACAGCAGCCATGACTCTGGAGACAAGCTATACAAACCGGAGGAGCCAGAAGGTCTACAAGAGAGACGAGCTTACAGAACTCGAGACTGACAGGGAAACTGACAGGGAGGGGCTGGCTGGATCTTAATCACAGGGGTTCTCAGGGAGCTGGGGACTAACCCCTCACGGCACCCAGATGGGCAGGAGCTGGGTGACGGGGCCTTTCTGAGCATGTCCACGTCTTCAGTGTCCTTCCAGGGACACCTGGAGAAGGTGGGCTTCAGGTACTGAGTGTGAGAGGAGGAGGAGGTGATTTCCCAAGCAAGGCCCCGCCTCCCAGCTGTCTGTGCCAAGGATTTGTACAATGCCATTAAATCAGGTAGCTAAGAGCCCTCCGATATGCCCTGGAGTTATAAACTCTAATTCCTCCTGTCCTACATTACAACAGCCACACCCTACGAGGGCTGGGCTTGGTGGGCTGGGTGAGGAAGCCAGTGGCTTGGAGGAAGGGATATTTTCTGCTAACCCTCTGTTGGGGTACTAATCCCAGGATCCTTAGGGAATGAAGGCATTTACCCAACAGAGCTACTGGGTCTCCCTCCTCACACCCTTGATACCGCAAAGGCCCGAGGTGCCCACTTCCACTCCACTAGTTTACCCGGAGGGTGGAAGTCTCTTGTGGAATAACCCCACCTCCAACTGGCTGTCATGTTCCTCCACCCAAGAGTCCCTCTCAGCCCACATCTCCACAATGGACTACTTCTAGGGGTTCAGGTTCCTGGAGGTACCCTAGGGCCCCACGCCTGGCCAGCCAGGTCTGACCCAAAGGGAGCAGGGACCCACCTGGCTTCCACTGCCGTGCATGATGTTCTCAGGGGTGTCGTACACCTCAGACTCCATGCGAACATTCTGATGCTGCTCGTGATCCACTTGTACCCGTAGAATTCGAAAGGAAGACCCACCAAGATCCAAGGCAATGAAATCTCCCTTTTCTGTTTAGGGAGACAACAGGTATCACATCAGATTCAAGGGTTATGGGGTGGTCACACTCCAGGCCCCCTTCTCTGCAGGCCCCAGGCCTTCTCTGCCTCCTCATCTGCACTGCCCTTTCAGCCGGAAAGTAGGATGCACACAAACCTCATGCGACCACTATCCTAACTGGAAAAGTGGGCAAGAGAAAACCCATGCCAAGCCTGGCACCCTTAAACAGAAATCACTTTAATCAATCTCAGTCTCATACCCAACTACAGGGGCATGAAAGCAATGGATTAAGTACAAATTCCCATCAGATCTTTTCTCTAACTCCTTACTCTATATCAAAAACTATAGTGCATTAAAAAAAAATTATATAATCAAACCAGGGTGAGAGGCATTTCACTCAAAGACACCCTTGAATTTGAGGTCCCTCCCCACCTTGGTTCCTACCACGTCAGGCCAGACACCGATGGCCGGCAGCCCAGAGCACCACTTATTCCCCAGGGGATGTTTATCAGAGGAGCCCCTGCTGGTCACATAAGAATAGAACTGGCCACTGTGATTATACCCCTGAGGACCAATGTGTGCAGCAAAACTGGGGTGACCTCAACGGAATAGAGAAAGCTGCTGCGACACTGTACGCCAAGACCACCAGACAGCAACAAGGCCATGTGCGAGACACCAAACCATGAAGCCACCATCAAACATTCCTTACCCAATTTCTTACTAGTTACCCTCACACACATTCCCAAAACATCGGTGAAGATCAGTTAACTTTACTCCTGATGTCAAGGTGACCTCCCCATGTCCCACTGCACCCTGTGTCAGGGTGACAGCTCCCCTGCCTTGCCCAGCCCTGGTGGTCTGCTAAGCCCTCAATCTATGGCATGTCATTTTTCTAGGGAAGCATCTTTATTGTTCTAATTATGATTATTATTTTGGTAACAGCTTTCCAAAACCAAACCAAACCCACTGCCATCGAGTTGATTCCCACTCATAGTGACCCTATAGGGCAGAGTAGAACTGCCCCATAGGGTTTCCAAGGCTGTCATCTTTATGGAAGCAGATTGGGACATCTTTCTCCCGCAGAGTGGCTGCTAGATTCAAATCGCTGACCTTTCGGTTAGCAGCTGAACCACTGCATCACCCAGGCTCCTTGGTAACAGCTTTACTAAGATATAATTCATATGCTATACAATTCATCCACTTACAGTATACAATTCAATGGTTTTTTAGTATATTCAGAATTGTACAACCATCACCACAAAAAATTTTCGAACATTTTCATCATCCCGAAAAGAAATCCTGTACCCTTTAGCTGAGGCATTAGTGGTTCAGTGGTGGAATTCTCACCTTCCATGAGGGAGGCCCTGGTTTGATTCCCGGCCAATGCACCACATGTGCAGCCACCACTTATCTGTCAGTGGAGGCCTGTGTGTTGCTATGATGCTGAACTGGTGTCAGTGGAGCTTCCAGACCAAGACAGACTAGGAAGAAAGCCTGGTGATCTACTTCTGAAAACGAGCCAATGAAAACCCTATGGATCGCAGAAGTCTGCACCACAACTGATCATGGGGATGGTACAGGATCGGGCAACATTTCACTCTGTTGTGTGTGGGGTCACCAACAACACCCTTTAGCTATCATCCCTCCGGCATCCCCTCTCCAACCCTAGGCAACCACTAATCCACTTTCTGTCTCTATAGATTTGCCTATTCTGGACATTTAACATAACTGGAATCACATGAAATGTGGTCTTTTGTAACTGGCTTTTTTCACTTGGCATAATGTTTTCAAGGTTCATCCACGTTGCAGCATAAATGAGTACTTCATTCCTTTATATTGCCAAATAATATTCCATTATACGGATATACCACATTTTGTTTATCCATTCATCAGCTGATGGACATCTGGGTAGTTTCCACTTTTTTGGCCATTATGAATAATGCTGCTATGAAAATTCATTGTACACATTTTTGTGTGGACGTATGTTTTCATTTCTCTTGGGTATACAGGTAGTTCCCAACTTAATGACGTACTCGAGTTACAACAAACCACACTTAGAACCATTTTTTTTTTTGGTACATCTTATCATTAATAATATGTACTACATACAATGCTGCAGCATGTAATTGGCTGATGTTATCATTCGCAGACATTCACTCACAGATGTTCAAAGATTGGATTTCTAAAGATACTGATAATAAAAGGCAGTAATAATGGAAACTAAAAAAGATATTCAACTTATGTCAGAACTGACTTAGGGTGGAGTCGTCAGAATGGAACCCTGTTGTAAGTTGGGGACTATCTGCATTTCAGAGTAGAATTGCTGGGTCAAGCAGTAACCCTATGTATCTCTTTGAGGAACTGCTAAACTGTTTTCCACAGCAGCTATACCATATTACATTCCCACCAGCTGTGTATGAGGGTTTCAATTTCTTCACATCTTCGACAACACTTATTATTATCTGACTCTGATTATACCCACCCTAGTGGCTGTGAAGTAGTATCACATTGTGGTTTTGATTTGCATTTCCCCAATGACTAATGATGTTGAGTATCTTCTTACTGGTCATTTGTATATCTTCTTTGGAGAAATGTCTATTCAAGTCCCTTGTCCTTTTTAAAAATTGGGTTGTCTTTTTTTTGAGTTATAGGAGTTCCTTATATGTTCTAGATATAAGTCCCCTGTCAGGTATATGAATTGCAAATATTTTCTCCTATTCGGTGGGTTGCCTTTTCACTTTCTGATAGTGTCCTTTGAAATACAAAAGTTTTTCATTTTGATGAAGCCTAACTGAACTACTTTTTCTTTTGAGGCTGTGCTTTTGTTGTCATACATAAGGATCTATTGCCAAATCAAAGATTTACTTCTAAGAGTTTTATAGTTTTAGCCCTTACATATAGGTCTTTGATCCATTTTGAGTTAGTTTTTCTATATAGTGTGAAGTAGGGTTTCAACTTCACTCTTTCGCATGTGGCTACACAGTTGCCCCACACCATTTGCTGAAAGGACTATTCTTTCTCCAATGAATGGTCTTGGCACCCTTGTTGAAAACCAATTGATCATAAATGCGAAGGGTTTATTTCTGGACTCTCAATTCTGTTATATAGATCCGTATGTCTACCTTTATGCCAGTACTACACTGTCTTGATTATTGTTGCTTTGCAGTAAGTTTTTAAATTGGGAATTGTTCTTCTTTTTCAAGCTTGTTTTGGCTGCTTTGGGTCTCGTGAGATTTTTATCATTTTTTTTCTTAAAGTAGTGGTTGTTTGTTGCTTTAAAAAAAAGTTATCTTTTATAAAGCTGACACGTTTTGTAGTTGATATCACGAAGCTTTATGCTCTGACACACTGCTATGTTTCTGGAAATGAGAACAATGTTTGGCACACAGTAAGGGTTCAACAAATACCTGCTGAATAAATGAGAGTCTAAATGACGGAATTAACAAACCAAAAAATCTCTTGCTTTGAATTTAACTGTCTTTATTATCTTCTTTCTCAAGTTCCTTGAGGGAAGGAGCACAACCTGGGATTCTCTGCATCTGCCCTGGGCACCCAAGGCAGCTCAATAAATGCTTGGTGGCTGATGATCACCGGGATTATTAAAAACAAAAAAACACCACTGCCTCAAGTCGATTCCGACTCATAGCGACCCTATAGGACAGAGTAGAACTGCCCCATAGGGTTTCCAAGAAGCGCCTGGTGGATTCGAACTGCCAACCTTCTGGTCAGTAGCCATAGCTCTTAAATCATTAATGGCCTGTTCGTTCATTCATTCAAGGCACCTCTTCTGGCTGTTAAGCATGAAGTAGTGATGTCACTGTTCTGTTTCTTATAACAGTTTTACTGAGATACAAATCACTTATCGTGCAATTCACCCATTTTAAAGTGTACAATTCATTGGTTTTAGTATCTTCAGAGTTGTGCAAGCTTTACCACTGTTTAATTTTAGAACATTTCATCATCCCAAAAAGGAACCCTGTACCGATTAGCAGGCACTCCCCATCCATTTCCCCCTCCCTCAGCCTCTGGCAAACACCAATTTATTTTCTGTCTCTACAGATTGTCCTCTACTGGACATTTCATATAAATGGAATCACACAGTGTGGCCTTTTGTGTTAGGTTTCTTTCACTTAGCATGTTTTCAAGGCTCATCCATGTTGTAGCACGTGTCATGTCAGTAGTTCATTCCTTCTTATTGCCAAATAATATTCCATTGTATGGATACAGCACATGATGTGGCTGGTTTTAACTTGACTCTGAGGTCCAAAGGAAAAGGACCAAGTGTAAAGGTGTGCGATGGTTAAGATTGTGTGTCACCTTGTCTAGGCCATGATTCTCAGTGTTTATATGTGATCACCCCTGTGATGGGAGCTGCTATGAGTAGCCAATCAGTTGAAAGAGAGTTTCCTTGGGTGTGTAGCCTGCATCTGAATGTAAGTGGACATTCTGGCTTTTGACCTCTCTGGATCCTGCAGTTGCCTCCTGTTGTCTGACCTCCACCTCCAGTTCTTGGGACTTGAGCTAGCAGCTTTACCTGCCAATCTTGGGATCTGTCAATCTTCACAGCCTGTGAGCAAGAGTCCTGCTCTCCAACTGCCAATCTTGGGTTCGCCAGCCCCTGCAGCTGCATGAGTCAGGAGAAGCCTTGCGGTCTTGCCTGCAGATATTGGGATTCATTGACCTTCACAGCCTGTGAGCAAAAGCCGTGCTCTCTGACCTGCTGATCTTGGGTTCACCAGCCCCCGCGGCTATGTGAATCAGGAGAAGCCTCTATCCTGATCCACAAACTTGGAATGTTCCAGCCTCTACAATCGCATGAGCTGTTTCCTTGATATAAATCTCTCTCTATCCATATATATATTTATACACTTTACTGGTTTCACTTCTCTAGAGAACCCAGCCTAAGACAAGGTGGAAGAATGCTGGGAAACAGGAGTCCTAGAATTGTGGGAAAATTTGGCCCTGATTTTCTGTTTGGCTGTTCAAATCAGTTTCAGGTTTTCTGTGGGCTCCCATCAGAATCCTAATGCTCATGCTGCTTACACTCCTACCAGGTTAAAAAACTAAACTCAGTATGAAGTGTCTCCTCTTGGCAGGGTGCTACTAGAATATCCGAAACACTTCATTTTAACATCAGCTGACACTTATTCAGCCTTTTTGCATGCCAGTGACTAAGTGCTTTATATATATCATTCTATTTTTTAATCTTCTCAACCTTATGAAGTAGGTACTGTTATGATCCCCATTGTACAGATGAGTAAGTAAAGGCCAGGAGAGGTTAGGTAATTGCCCAAAGCACACAACCAGCAAGAGGCAGAGGTAGAATTTGAATCCAAAGTCCAAATTCATAACCATTGGGTAAAACTGCCTCCTAGACAGGCCTGGGGACAAGGATCCACATGGATGTCAGCAGAGTAAGACTTCAGCTCACCAAGGATGTCTACGTTTCTTTTCTGGGGCTCTTGTCAACACTCATGACTCCTCTGAATATATCCGTGCAGCTTTTATTTCTGTTTTGCTTCATTCTTTAATGAAGATAATGAAAACTCAGTCTGGTAAACAATTATAAAACCACATATGCATTGGAAAATAATAGGCACAAAAGCAAATGCGGTGTTAGGATGGAACTACGGGTGCTTTTTGTTGTAACATTTTTAGTTAATTCATTTAATGTTCTAATGCATAAATAAACATTTATTTAATGTTTTACACTGGCTTTTCAATGTAACTTTTAAAAACAGCATGGAGAATCTAGTCCCTACTTTTTCTGTTGCCAGCCCAGACAGAAGTTTCATTTTAGGTTGAATCAAAGGCCTACAGAGAAGGCAGGTTCATGTTGCCCAAGCTCCAGGGGACTTCTCTCACTGGTGTGAGGTAAAGCAGGCAAGAGCTTTCAGGCCCTCATCCAGGCAAGGGGTCAGGTTTCAGGCAAGCACCCTCACAGGACCCAGGCCTTTAGTTTTTCAAGCAGATGTGAAAAGTGACCCTGACTGCCTATAGCCCCAGAGGGAGCCTGGCCTTAGGGGGGCCTGGGGCTGGCCAGCACCTCTGCAGCCCCTCAAAGACCCCTGCCTCACCCCAACCTCTCACTGTGGTCTGCCCGCAGCTCTCCACTACTCCTTTTGGAAAAAAGCACAGGTCAGCGGGGTCACAGGGAGCTAAGATCAGAGAAGAAAGGTAACCTTGAGATGTCAGGACAAGGTTAAATGCTGGACACTCTACACACCCTCAAGTAGGGGCTGATGGATTGAGGGGTCTTGATAACCAGTCCCTAAAGGCAGTTACAAGACGTCATCTCAAGCAGTGTCCTCTCAGACCCTGGCCCTTACCTGAGCAGTGACCCTGGTTCACTTGAAGGCTGTATTTTGTGATTGCTAAGAAAAAGTGACATTTGGTTCCTCTTTCTGGAAACGACATTTGCAGCTCAGGAGATATGGGATAAATATTAACTCACTTTCCTAGTTTAAGGATGAGGAAGTTGCAACCATAGGAAGTGAACAGCTCGCTCCTGGTCACACCTGTGGCAAGGCCAGGGTGACCTCTCCCCTCTTTCTCTCAGTATACTTGCAAATACTGTGATGTTAATTACTTTTTACAGTATATTCTTATCTTCCTCTATTGGATTATAAACAACTTGAAGGCAAGGGCAATTTAACATACTTATCTCCCTCCCCCAAGTACTGAGTCCTATGCAAGGCTGGTGGTTCAAACCCACCCAGAGGCTCCTCAGGAGAAAGACCTGGTAATCTGCTCCCGTAAAGATTACAGCCTAGAAAACGCTATGGGGAAGTTCTACGCTGCCACATGGGGTTGCTATGAGTCAAAATCAGCTCAGCAGCACCTAACAAAATGGAGACAAGAAGGTCTTGAGTTGCATAAACAGTTAAGTGCTTGGCTACTAACCGAAACGTTGGCAGTTCTAATCCACCCAGGTGCCTTGGAAAAAAAGCCTGGGTAATCTACTTCCAAAAGATCACAGCCACTGCAAACCCTATGCACAGCTCTACTCTGAAATACATGAGGTTGCCATGAGTTGGAACTGACTCGATGGCAACTGGTTTTTTGTTGTTGTTGTTGTTTATGGGGAATAAGATGTGTGCTCTTTACCCTGGGATTGCTAGTTAGGAGGCGAGATGTCAGGTTACAGCTGCCTGGGCTGCCTCTGCCTTAAAGGGAAAGTTGGCCTAAGAATGAAGCCGCACAAAGGAAAGCAGGGTGACTGAAAGAATAAGAGACAGCTGAGTCCCTGGATGCAGAAATCACCTTACAACTAGACTTCCCAGTGATGTGAACCTAACATTGTCCTTTTGTGCTTAAACCAATTTAAGTTAGGTTTCTTTCAACTAACCAGAAGGCTCCAAAGTTCAATATTCTTTATTAGGGAATGAGTCCTCCAAATGCCTAGCTCCCCTCTATAAGAAAGAGGACCTACTACCCATGAGTTGATCTCAGGCTGGTTTCCCAATTCAGAGCTGTGGTGTCCAGTTACCCCACCGCAGAGGAATTGGAGCTGTGGCCTGTGGGCCACCCCACACTTTGTGTGGCCAGTCCGGAGGATGGGGTTCTGTGGTGGGGATGCAGCAGCCTGCCTTTGCTTCCCCCTTATCTCTGCCTCCTCCCCCTATAATATCTCAGGGATGCCAGCGAATTCTGAAACACTCCGGATCCTTCCTCCAAAGGCTGGGCATACACATTTAAGCCTGATAGGTAGAGGCCCTCTGCCTAGCCACATTGGTTAGGAAAGATTCCCAAGAATTCTCACAAAGTCAGTTATTAAATCACAGTGGTGATGATGATGATGAAGATGACAGCAGTGGTTTCATTTCCAAAGCACTTTCATTTGATCCTTTTGACAGCCTTGTGGGGCAGGCAGGGCAGGGATTATCATGCCCATTTTACAGATGAGGAAATGGAGGCTCAGCAAAGTTAAATAACTTCTCCAACGTCAAACAGCGAGTAAGTGGCAGAGCCAGGGATTAATCCAGTGTTTTGGATTTATATTTTATTTTTTTCCTTTAACTTCAAGGTAGCCTCTTTCTGCTGCAGCAGGCTGCCCTCCACCTTCCTGTTCAAATCTTTGGCCTCGAACTTAGTTCCTGCTACTGGTGCCTCCTACTTGTGACTTCTTCCCACATTTCCCACTTCCACTGAAGCCAGGAGAACCACTCTTCAAGAGAAGGCTCATTAAACAAAACATCTGAAGGGCTCCTGGAAACTGTCCACTTTCTAATGACAGCCATTATTACCAGCAAATAATGGAAAACAAACACGGGCACAGATGTCACTCTCGAGTCCAGGTCTGTGCTGGAACACAGGGCAAACAAAAGCTCTACCTTCGTGAAATGCCCATCTTTGTCCTGCTGAATGAATTACTTCTGCACACGAGGTACAAAGGCATTCCCTCCCATCTGCAGTCCAGCTACTTGATGAGATTTCTATGCCTTCATCAAGGACCCAATTATGCTGTTGTAACTGAAAGCTTGTTCATTTAGAACACCAGACATTCAGAGAACTTGCAAGATAATCCAACAATCTTTCCAGATAAGGAAATGAGACACAAAACAGTAAGTGACCAGCCCAAATGCTACAGAAAAAGAAAAGAAAAATTTCCCTTCCTTTAGCTGGAAAGAAGGAGCCCTGGTGGCACAGTGGTTAAGCACTCGGCTGCTTACCAAAAGGTCAACGATTCAAACCCACCAGCCGCTCTGCAGGATAAAGATGTGGCAGTCTGCCTCCGTAAAGATGACAGCCTTGGAAACCCTATGGGGCAGTTCTACTCTGTCCTACAGAGTCGCTATGAGTCGGAATCATCTTGACTGTAACGGGTGTGGCTAGAAAGCAGTACTATATATATCCAGGGCCCCAAAATAACTGTAACCACATTGCAAATCATCCTGTTTTGCATGAAACAAGATAATGGTCCCGTTCAAGCTTCCAGCAAATACTTTTTGAACTTGTCCTTTGGGTAAAGAACGTGCACGGAACCATAAAAGCACAAAGAAATATCCAACTCTATTTACCCTCAAAATGCTTATGATCAAACTGGTACTTACAAGATCCTAAGCAATACATAAGAAGAGGAGAGAAAAGGGGCAGTTTCGTGAATGAGAGAGAGTGAGCTGGGTCTGCTGCGAGAAGATGGACACAGAGGGGCCAACTGTCCCCCAAGAGCCCGGGCAGCTCTGAAGAGGGACTTCTATGTAGCCAAGTCACCAGTGTTAAAAGGTTTCAATGTTTTCCTTCTCTTATGTTTCATACTTTTCCTACTTCAAAAAGGATTTGCAGCAGCTAAAAGCACTTCAGGATAAAAAAGAAACCAAAACCACTTATGTACGGATTACTTAAGAGCAACTGAAGACAAACCACTGCCCATAAAAAATGGCTAAAGGGAGAACAATTGAATAATAAAAATAAGCTGATCCATTTCTGGAAAAATCAGTAGAAAAAGGTCAACAGATTAATTTCAAGCCTCTGATTCTAGTCCACCAGGGTTTAGGTGCACCAGGAAAGGGAAGGTTTGCTTCTACCTGTGCCTTGGAAGTCTGCAGTGTGATGGATCACTATTATATGGCCTTTCTCTCCATGGTCTTGTAACACCCACAAAAATCACTGGGTGGGACTATGCAAATAAGGTGCTTGTGGCCCACCAAGGGGATTGGACAGCTTGGCGATAATGCAAATAAGGGGCATGGCACCCTTGTGGGGGCAGGACCATGCAAATAAGGTATATGGAACCCTAATGAGCGGATTAGTCAGTTTTGCCATCACACTAGACTTACTACTACCAAGAAAGAAGAAAAGGGAGCAGAGCTTGTCCTTTGGACCTGGGGTCCCTGTGCTGAAAACCTCCTAGACCCAGAAGACAGAAAGCTCTAACACTGGAGATGGCATAAGACAGTGAAAAGTAGCAGCAAGCACAGCAGAGAACTGGCAGCAGCAAAACCAGGAGACAGGCAAGAGACAGCACGGTAAGCTTCCCAGCCCGTGGAGCAAGAAAGCTGAGCGCCTTTGGGCAGGAGGCTCGCTGGCAGAGTGGGGTACCTCCAGGCACTTGACGGAGCACTAGGCTTGCCAACCCACAGAGCTAGAGACTGAGCACCTTCAGGCTGAGGTTTACTGGAGGAGTGGGGTGCCTCTGGGTACTTAAGAGTGGAGCTAAAGAGCTTTGTAACACTTGCCTGAGGATAGAGGCCAGGGCAAGGGGCCAAGGGCCGAGAGACCAAGAGATCGAGGGCTGAGAGGCCGAGTGCCAGGGAGAGGCCTGCCTGTAGGCACGGCCAAGAAGCTGACCTGACCAAAGAACTGTATCCTGAGTCATTTCTGAACCTGAATTGTAACACAGTACTTCCCTAATAAATGCCATAACTGTGAGTACGGTCTGTGAGTTCTGGGTGGCCATTGCAATGAATTATCGAACCCAGCAGAGAAGTAGCGAGTGCCATGAGAGGGATGGAAGGTGTCAGAACTGGTAAAGATGGCAGAGCGAGGAGGCATGGCTGACCTCCACCTCATAGGAATCAGCCTTAGGCTGATGTCAATGGTGATTCTCTCTCCTCCCCCTTGTGAAATTAGATGAGGAGGTCAGATGACGCTGCCACCCTGCCATTTTTACGAGGTCCAATCACCACTTAACTATCAAGGGTGTTTCTCCACCACATGGAGCTCCAATTTATCCTTTAGTGGTTTGGGATTACCACTAATTCTGTCACTGACTAATTACTACAGATGAAGCAGTGATTAACATTTCAAAAAGGGGACAGCACCATGGACCTACTATTAAGGAGCCTTGCATTCTGATGACTCCTCCTGGTCTTTGGTGGATAAAGGAGCGCGGGACAGGAGAAGCTGATGTGCAGACACTTCCCACAGGACTGGGGTGGTGCAGGTATGGAGGCCTTGGCATCACTAGCAATCTCTGTGAGTGGCTGTAGGGACTGTTCCAAGAGCAGCGTGGGCTTAGCCCAGCTATAAATATTAGGAACCGCCATAGGAGAAGGGCTGCAGGGTGGAAGAAGCAGTCGGAGGGAGGAGGGCTGCGTGAGTAGGGCAGGGGAAGGGTGCTGAGTGCAGGCAGGCAGATCCAGGCCCTCTGGGCACAGGCAGTGGGTCTGTGAGGTTCAGGGCTTTTGCTTCCCCTCCTTCTCTGTGCTCCTGAGCGGCCCGAGCACTTGGCCACACCAGCACTGAAGAGGAGAAGGGCTCCAAACAAGGCAGGGGCCCAGACTTCAATTCTACAAACTCTAGGATAGTGTTCCCTAACATGGGTGTCCTACCAGATATGTCATCTAATGTAAGACACCACTGACTCGAGACACATCATTAGTTTATGTAACACTAAGAAAGAAAAAAATGCTGCCAATAATAATTTTAAGATGCTATTATTGTACCATGCGTTGCTGATTTCAGAGATCCTCAGATGAAAAAGAATGAGTGTCCGAAAGTAGATGAAATGTGGTAATAGACATTTGGGAAAAAGATCAAACAGGTCTGGGGAAAAGGCAGTCAAGCTGAATTAAACAGGTTTTTTTCCTGCAGGACTTCTCAGGGCCTTTAGTATGTTGGTGCCTGTTAGGAAGCTCTAAGAGGGGGCTGGAGAATGTTGTATTTACCCAACGAATATGAGTTCTGGGTCTTGTTTTAAGAGTAGCCAATGGGAGAGAGGGCAAGGGGCTAGATTACACCTGGCTCACACTTTGAGACCCTCAGCCCTGGAGATGGTTTGTGGAGAGTGAGGGAGAGCATCCCCTGCCAACACATGGTTCTGGGAAGGAGCTGGCTTAAGCAGGGTTCAGGAGGAAAGGGAAGGTATCTCCTCCTCAGACGTGTCTGCCCTGGGCCAGCCACACAGGATTGGGGGCCTCCACAGGGACCGCGGATCGTCTGTACTCTCCCAAACAAAGCCAGAGCAGGTGCCCTCCTGGGGACTGCCCATGCCCACCTCCTATCCTCTTTCTCCTCTCTCGGTCAGAAGCAGGACACAAACATATCTTCCTCCTATGGAACTCCAGTAATCGTGGAAAAGCTCAAATGCTCCTAGATGCGGGCTCCATCCAGGGCGGGAGAAAAAGCAGGCGTGAACCAAAAAGGCCTCTCTGCCCCAGCCAGAGGCATCAGAACACAGCCCGTGTACCCCATAGTGTGCTCACTCTGATGGCCAGAGTTTCTTTGACAGTTATTATAAAGCTAAACTGCTGGTAACCAAGACCTCAAGGAAAACAAAAGAAGGAAGATTTATAAGTAGGCAGAAAAACTTCAGAGAGATAAATGCCAAGGTGTGTGCAGGAAGCAAGCCCCACCTGTGTCCACTGGTGACAGAGTAAACAGGGCACACCCACCACCAGCATATGATCAGGGCCGTGGCTCTGGCAGGCTTCTGATGGCCGGCTGTGGGCAGAGCAGGGCTTGTCTGCTGTAGCCAGCTGCCTACAGCATGCCGTGCACTTGGCAGCTGCAGTTTTCCTGAGGTCTGTTTTGCAGGCTGCATCCAAGATGCCCCAAATCATTGCTTTAAACAAGAGCAACCAGAGCAGAAAGGAAACAGTTGGAGTGTGTGAGGGCCATACTCATGGGGTGTGTCCTCACAACCCCAACAGAAATTGTTCTTCCTCTTGATGTCTCTCCCTGTATCTTATGCAACCCAGACCGCAGAGCACAACTCCAAGGGGGATTCCTGAGCATGACAAACCAGGCAGGCACAGCACACACGCCTGCAAACTAATAACTACAGGGCAGCCAGGCAGAACAGCCTCCACGGGCAGGCCTGGCTGCGCCCTCCCAGCCTCCAAACCGGCAAGTGCAGGGGCTGATGCCACTCCTGGGGAACAGAACTAACGATCCTTGAGGAGAACCCAACTCTCCATTGTGGGGCAGGAGCCACAGGCATGCAACCCAGAGAATAACTGCTTTTTCAATTTCACCTCTTCTCTCTATTTCTCCACTTTGGAGGCTACCTTGATTCAGCACGTATGTAATTTGTTCAAATGGGGACTTAAATCTTACGTCTGCATCTGAGACCCACCTGAGCACTAGGATTGCTACTTATCTGGGGTGCTGAAGGGAGGCTTAGGTGCCATGATGGGAAATTCTCCTAAAATGAGCCTTTTGATTGTTCTAGAGCCCTTCATGTTCTGGAGTAATCAGAACAATCCAAACAGCATCTGTAAGACCCATAAACACTAAGCTTTCTGGAGTATCACAAGCCACTAAACAAGCTGATGAAAGCAGGTCCACCATGGTTTCTCCCCAGTGCCTGGCACATGGTAGGTGCTCAAAAGACACTGGATGGATGGACGGACAGACGGATGGACGGATGGATAGATGGATGGATGGATGGGAGAACAGACGGATGGAATGGTGAATAAGTGAATGAATGAGTGGATGAGAAAATGAATTAATGAATAAATGAATGAACAAATGAGTGAAAGTTAGAAGGATGGTTTCACAGAACTTTTCGCCCTTGGAGCCCAATCTCTGGGTTAGAGACTCACCTGAACCATCAGGAATGGACCTTACAAATGTGGGCAACATCTTGACTGTGGCTGTTGGATTAGAATCCCGGGATAGGCCACTCTTCATCTCCTCCCTGAAACGAGCCATGATATCCAACAGAGTTTCATCGGAGAGCCGCATGGTATAAAGATACTTGTCAATCTGGGGGAAGAATGAGAAGAAAGGAGAGTGAGGTTGAGGGAGGTCATTTCAGCTCATGTCTGGCTGGGGCAGGACAGGGCAGTGCCTCCATCCTGGCAGAGACAATGCCTTTCCTGCTCGCACTGAGACTCTCACGCTGGCACTGAGACACTCACGCTGGCACATCAAACAACAGGAGTGTATCAAAAGAACTGAAACATCCTAGTGAGTGAAATAAGTCAATCACAAAAGGACAAACATTGTATGAATCCACTTACATAAAATATCTAGAATGGACAAGTATATACAGACCAAGGTTAATGCGTGGTTACCAGGGGCAGGCAGGTGGGAGGGGGAAAGGGAGACTCATTGCTTAGCGGACTCTGAGCCTCTGCTAAGGGTGATTAAAAAAAACGATGGGGGTCACTCAACTGCCATTAACTATGTGACCCAGAGCAGGCTTGCAAATGCTAAGCCCTAGTTCCTCACCTATGAAATGAATGGCTGGAACCAGATGATCCCTAAGGTCCTTTCCAATCCTAGAATGTTACATGCACACTGTCCTGCAAGTCTATGACAGGTTTACTCGAGTATCAGAAACACCTCCAGCCTCAACATGACTTCTTCCCCACGAGAGGCGGCTCATCCTCACATGGATGGCTGTGTGGCAGAGCTTGAGAACAAGGGCTCTGGTGCCAGCCACCTGGGTTCAAATCCCAGCCCCACACTTGAAAGCTGTGTGAATTTCAGTTTCCTCAACTAAAAAACTGAGATGATAAATAACTTATAGGATGCTGTGAAGGTCCAATGAGATCAAGAAGCAACTAGAACATAGTAAGTGCTCAAAAATATTGGCCATTATTATTCACGTGAGACCATGGAGCCAGTGGATTTCCTT